CTCTCTCTCTCTGTCTCTCTCTCTCAAATTAATAATTCTTTTTCAAAAATGTACTATAGATTAAGCAAGCGCAGTCCCCATCATCTGTGGGATTGGCAGATTCGAAAAAGATTGACAGTTCCAATGCGGGCCGGACTGTTGGCTGACAGGCACCTGGCCACTGTTCGGTGTGGATAGGCAGGCCCTTTCTCCAGACCAGTTTGGCAACCTACACCCTTTGTGTAAATGCACACATCTAGGAAACCAGCAATTCTTTCCTAAACCTCTCCCACGGAAATATACAAGGCGCAAAGATGCATGGGCATTGTTACCTTGTTTGTGAAAAAAAAAAAATACTATGGAAAGGTAAATATTTTATTTATGGAATGGATAAATAAAATATGGTATATCAATGTACTTAAAACCTACTAAAGGTAGATAGATCTTTAGTTTCATTGATATGAAAAATTCTCAAGATGTATTTGAGGGAGACAAGTCACAAAATAATATATATAGTACGATTGATTTTAGAAATTATGTATTATTATATAGAGAAGATACAGATGATTGCTTGATTGATTGATTCCGGGAAAGATCTGGCAGGACACACGACTAACTGTCGTGGTTACCTACAGGAACAGGAGTGGGACTTAAGGGATAGAGAGGGCTTGCCTTTTCAGTCCTTACTTTATATAATTCTATGTCATGTGAATCTTTGAGAGGATGCCCTTCAGTAATACTTAGTGTCATTTTTTAAAATTTAAGTGAGTCCTTTCCTGACATAGCCTGATTCCATTTTGTTATTTCTAGAAACGCAGGCCTACCTATTAGAACAGCGCCTTGGGCTAGCGCTGTTGGTTGCAGACATCCCTCTTTCCTGCCACCACCCACACCAGCATCTACTTGTCGCCATTCCTAGAATTTTTAACTGGGAGCGGAGAGAAGTCTTGCTTGGGGCAGGGACAGAGTGAGAAAGAAAAGAGGGATGAAGGGGCTGGCAGTGGCCCCACTCCAGTTCCTGTGGACAGGCCAGAGCCCCATAAAGCAGCCAACGAAACTGCCCAAGTGTCTTAATAAGCAGAGAGTGACAATGGGAGCCACGGAGCTGGGGGCGGGGGAGGACCCCTCCCCACCTCCATCCAGAACCCAACGCCATCCCGGTGCCTCCAGGATCGCAGCTGTGAGTCTCTGGGGACAGGACGCTCGGCAGGGGTGCCATGGCATTCTCACGACGTCGCGACGGTGGCAGAAGAGCCAGAAAAGGAGGGAAAGATTGGGGAAGCGAGTCAGAGACAGCGCAGAAACAGCTCACAGTCCAAGGCAGACTTCCGAGCACCCTTCCGAGGGCCCAGGATTGACCCCGGGGTCTGGGATCTGCTTCTGCCTAGAACGGGGCCATCCAGCCGGGGACACCGGGCTAAGCAGGTGTCAGCGTGCGCGGCTCGGAAAGCGGCCGGCGAGCCGTGGGAAGTCCGGGCGGCGTCGGGGAGGCTCACCGATCTCCACCTCCACCTCTTCGGGCACCACCTTGCGGTAGAAGAAGAGCGGCAAGGCGCCCTCCTCGTCGCTGGTCTGGTTGAGGAAGTGCAGGATGAGGTCCTCCACCTCGCCGTCGTTGCGGTTCAGCAGCTCCTCGAAGAGCCGGGGATCTGTGAGGCCGAAGGCCGTGTAGATGCGGTCGCGCATCCACAGCACCCGCAGGTCGTCCATGGCGCCGCGCAGGGCCCGATGGCGCCCCAGGAGCCCAGCGACGGGCGGCGTCCGTGGCAACGACGCCCCTGGCAACGGGCGCCCCGGCAACGGCCACCGGGCGCGGGTCAGCACCGCCCCGGGGCGCGCCCGCCTCCGCCCCCGCGCTCGCAGCGGCGCGGACCCGGAGCCCGGAGGGTGGCGCCCAGCCCTGTCCGGACCCAGGCCGGCCCTTCCCACCCGGGAACCGAGCGGAGCAGCGCGGCCGCACACTCGCTCCCGGGACGCGCAGAGACGAGGCCGGCCGGGAGCCGCCGGGGCCACCGGACAGCCGACTGCGGACCTCCGCCGGGGAGCGTCCCGCCCATGGTGCCCCTAAGCCGGCCGAGGCCAGCCAGGTGACGGGGCGGGGGGGGCGGGGGAGGCGCAAGGTGAAGGTGACCTTGTCTCGGAGGTGGCAGGGGCAGAGTCAGAGGCGAGGCTGACAGTCCGAGCCCCCAGCCACTGTGGATCAAAGGGCCTCAGAAGGGCAAATACTTCTGGAAGAGTTCCAAGAAGGGACCGTTTCCTTCCTGCAACGCATAGTATTGGAGAAGAGGGAGACCCAAGAAGGGACAACTGACTCCTGGCATTTGGGATCGGGAGAGGGGCCAAGCGCTGACTCTGCAGCCAAGCCCAGATATAAAGAAGCAAAACACCCATGTTTTGAAAAATATATTTATTTTTCATTAGTAAAAGGAAGTTTAATACTGATAGAAAGATGCAAAATTGTCCTTTCATGCATTTGTGGAGCTTTAACCTAGTGACTGTGATCCACTACCCACCCCCACCCCCCAACAGCTGAGTCTCTCCATGACAAGTCTGACCCTAAGAACTTAGCCTTCCTGTTGGATTTTCCCATCAAGGAACAAGTGGAATGTTCAAAGTCTTTCTTATAATTCTAAACCAAAGCTCAGCATCAATGACCTGACTGTTGGAAAACTATTACTTGGAACTGCCCTACTTTCATCATCCTGAATTAAGATTTCTTAATAACCGTACTGGAGATGTACCAGATGGCATGCAAGCAAATTTGGCTTTAAAATTTTAATGAAAAATTACTGTTTCTAAATGCAGACTGCAGACCAGTTACAGAAGTTTTGTTTTTGTTTTCCAAAATGAATCAGGCCCTAAAATGTCTGAATATTTAACTCATAAATATCATAAAAGTTACCTAAGCTATATTCTATGGCTTATTAAGCTACAGCAGGCTGAAAACTAAGAACAGAATGTTTTTATAAAATACCCACCCTGGAACCAAGGACAGAACAGCATTCGGTAAAAGGTGAATCTTTTCAAAGTCCAATCCGCAATGAATGGAAAGCTCACCGTGATCATCAGAACACACTTTGGGTTACTTAACTGATCACAATTATGTCACCACGGGGACATTTCTTACCCTTGCAGGATGAAATCAAAATCTGTTTCCTAAAGAAATCCCTTGGATTTTTATGTTAGGACTCCATTAAGACACAGAGTGAACACCTGAATCAAAACTGGAAAAGGTGGCCATCATGCCATTTATCATGACATGTCCTCTTTGGGAAAACGCACAGATATTTGACATTCCCCAGACAACTGACCATTTTTCCTCTGATACTTGCTACTAAGGGACTGAAGTCTTATCTTGAAAACTGTACATGGAATAGTTCTACCAAACAGCTTAAAAACTAAGTGCAGCAACCACTCTGGTAACCTGACAGTGAAACCTATAGCTTTAGGGAGAGAAAAAAAAAAAGTCCCCTGGTGCCTGAAAGACACCATCAAACTCTATTTCTAGAGAGTTCTCTCACAGAAGTTATACTACTGTGTTTTTTCATAGAATAAGGTAGCTTACGTAACTACTACATAGGTTTCAACTTAAGAAATGACTCTGCCGGGGCGCCTGGGCGGCTCAGTGGTTTAGAGCCCCTGCCTTCGGCTCAGGTCATGATCCCGGAATCCTGGGATCCAGCCCCGCATCGGGCTCTCTGCTCAGCGGGGAGCCTGCTTCCTCTTCTCTCTCTCTCTGCCTGCCTCTCTGCCTGCTTGTGATGTCTGCCAGTCAAATAAATAAATTAAAAATTTAAAAAAAAAAAAGAAAAAAGAAATGACTCTGCCCTCTCTGTTCTATATCCCAGCAAGAGCTGTTCCTTAAGAATGACCAAATGGCCCCTAACAAGTTACCAGGGGGGGCCCTAAAAGATTCCAGCAGACGCCGCATGTCCCTTGTTTACAGATCAGTTAATGGTGCCCTGAAATCGGGGGTTTCCCAGGGATGAATTAGTTACCATTTTCTTATCACAGTTCCTTGGAGTAAGGAGTAATCAAGATGCCAGCTGGGAGGGACAAGTCTGCGACCTGAGCAGCGTTACTGAGATTTTGTGTCTCCCCCCCACCCCCCAAAGAAGTGTCCAACCAACATTACCCCTTGCCGGGGAAACTGAACTCTGAGAGCAGAATCAATTCCCAGAGCCTCATCAGCACCGTTTTAGGTCTGACACTTTAACAGGAAGGACAAAACGCAGCCCTTCCAAACCGGCTTTGGGAAACGGCTCACTTAGAAGCAGCCCGGCGCGTTTACTACACTTAGAAAGGTTTCATGGCGGAGTCACAGGTCAGCGTGCTCAGTCCGTGCCTCTCAGCAAACTGGTCTTGACGTTCCCTGAGAAGATACGCTTAGACTCCAGGCTCCCGGAAGCTCGGCTTGGGATGAAAATTCCAACCTCTGCCACCAGCCAGGGGAAGCAGTGCGGTGACAAACCGGCCTTCTCATGCGCCTTCCTCAGAATGTTACGGAAGTGAGAACGCTGCAGATTTCTTTTTGAAAATAATTATCTAAAATCAACTACAGTAAAATACAAAAAATGAACATAATTTACAAGAAAATAAATCCTCCTTGACTTACGATGGGGTCTCAGCATAAGTTGAAAATCTGCTAAGTTGAAAACGCATCTAGCACAGCCAGCCTCCAGCCCACCTTCCGCGTGCGCAGGGCACGACACGAGCCTCCCGCTGGACAAAATCACCCACCACGAAGCCTGTTCTATAAGGAAGTGTCGACTCCCTCGTGTCACTTCTTGACTCCCGCGCTGACAGCAACAGGAGGGTTCGGGGGCGTCTGGGACCCTTGTGATCACAGGGCTGACGAGGAGCAGTGGCCACGACCCCGCACCACAAGAGAGCACAGGACCGTGGATCGTGAGCCCGGGACAAGGTCTAGATTCGAAATTCCAAGAATGCGTATGGCTTTCGCACCATCATTCAATCAAAATTCACTGAATCGAACGATTGTTAAGTCAGGAACTGTCTGGACAGGTTAAAATGTTCAGTAGGACTGACCCACATTCATTCAAAACTGAATGTCACGTGAACAGATGAATTTAAACTACAGATAATAAGAATTAATTTTCAATTGATCCCAACAGTGTTTGAAAGTTTAAATTAACTCTAAATTCCTTTATCAGACCTTTATTTAGAATTAGTCTGAAAGTAAAAAATTATAATCATACTGTTCTCAAGGAGAGGTGCAATCTCTTCATGGTAAAATAATTTATATTTTGTTATAAAAATATACAAAACACTACTTTTTGCTCTTCCCTTCACTCAATATAAACCCCTTTTGGTTCAGTAACATCAGTAACATCAGCTAAGCTGGTCTCTAAGTTCAAATCACATCCACATTGTATCTTCTACAGTCACGCTGGTTTTAAGGCTCAGGATACAGTTTTATCTTTCAAACATACAATTATCATAATTGGCTTTACATAAGGATAACAGGATTAGAATATTTTTAAAAATATACAAGTTGGATAACCATCTGTTGTTCGTTATTTTATCCCATTTTCCCCAATTATTAAAACAAGACAAAATTGTAGAAACAGTCCCCTACTTGCAGGCCTAGACAGCATACAGTAAAAAAATGTTTACATACTTATAATCAGGCAGAACGTGAATCTTTTGATTATCCGTCATTAAATTTTTTAAAAAACTATACTTAACCTCAGCTGTTGGAAAATATTATCTGACAACGTCAAGCAACAGAATGACTTTTTTTTTTTTTTAATAGGGTGAAAAGGAATTGAGTATCTAAGACCATTTTCAATGAGCCGTTCAAAACTGCTTCTCTCCCCCAAGCCTGTATTTTTAAAAATAACTTAAACGTAACTTTGGGCCTTGACTTATATTTGCTCATTGTAAAAACTGAAAGAAATTTAGAGATCTGAAGTTGATAAACTTTACAAAATATTTAACAGAGGAAGAGGTATATCTTACAGAATTATTTGGCTATATCATAAGGCAATCAATGAAGACGGAATTTTTCCTATCGTAAATCTGACGGAAGTGAAATTCTATAACATGATAATTCTCCATAAATCTGACAGCTTGTTAGGTACGGCAACGCGATCATGCCACGTCATCACTGAATTTCGATGAAAGCAGTCTGAATGAGAAAGGAACGAATTTGGTGCCTGCACCAACGTAGAACTTGTTCTGAAATTCTACCCTAAAAAAAAAAAAAATTCAGTTTATCAATGAAAGATTGTGAATAACACTTCCAACATCTCTTCAAACAACATGTGTAAGTTAAAAAAACAAAAACAAATTTCCTGTGCTGAAGCTGCTTCCCTTCTGTACGTGTTCTCATGGCACAAATGTTTTGACTTAAATAAAATACACACACACACAATGTTGTATGTGCCCCATGTTGCATTTCTCCGTATGTAAGCCCGTCACGCCACCTCATGCACTCCACACAGCCGCGCCTCTCTCTGCACTCTGGTACTTTCACACACACAAGTAAGCCGATGTATGCTAGAAACCATTAAGAAATACATAAGAATTTTTACTTTATTTTACAATAAGATAAAGGAATTTTTCAGACCCCAAATAAATTAAAAGCATTAAACACACAGAGGTATCCAGCAAGCATAAACTTGCTTTTAGTTGTCAGTGATAATATTTCAGAAACAAAATACCATTTTAACTCGGGGGATATGAATCCAGATCCCAGGGTTGGGAAGGCAAGCACCAGCCTCCATGAAGTGGCCAGATCTGTGCGGGGTTATGTATATCTACAGGTGGGGAGGGGGTTCCTTTTTTTTAAATAACAGTCTCAAAGCTAAATTTCGAACTCACCAGTGGAGGCGTATGGCGTGAAGAAATGCAGAAAGGCCTTCCATGATCAAAAGGATGAAAATTGTCAAAACTGCAAAGAGCGCGATAACCGGAAGCAGCAGCAGGACTCCGTACGTGGTGTCCACTCGGAGGCCCACGCGCACCAGCATGGTCCACAGGACGTCAGACAACTCTGTGGGGGGAGGGAGTTGGCAGAGTTCACTTCTGTTCACACGTGCCGAGGCACCGCCATTAGCTCATGGGACCAGGTTTCCTTCTGACAATTCTGACTTATTACCCACGAAATAATACACACACCCACCCACTCCAGATGTGATCTGCTTCTCGTGTCAAAGTGAACCAGCCCCCGAGGCTAACCAGCCCCTGATCATCTCAAACCCTGAGGAAGACGGGGCATGCCAGAAAAATCCGAGGCCTCCCTCCCAGAGAGAGGACTTGACCCAAACTGGGGTCGGGCTGGCTCTGTCCCCACACAACACTAGTTCACACAGCATCTGAAAGATGGGACTGTGCTTCCTCGGATATGTGAGATGGCTCACGGCGACTCCCTGGGGGTTCCCTGGGGCACGATGGGGTGTCTCAGCACAGAGTTTGGGAACCACGGGTCTGAGCGAAGACTTACGTGCGTGAGCCAAACTGAGAGCCCAGAGCCTCAGGTAGGAAGCGGTGTTGGAGATGCATCCCAGGCAGTACTCGATGGAATGAATCACTTGGGTCATTAATATTTCTCCAAAATTAAACTGGGAGAGATCACACATGTGTTAGGTCCAGGGTACTGCCCGCGCGCTCCCACAAGTCACCCTGTGTTCCACTTCCGCCCCCTCGCTCTCGGTGACAGGAGTGGCATCTGCAATGTTGGGGACAACACCCAGAGCATGAGGAACAGTGAAGCAAAGATCCGAGCTCCACTCACAGCTCTACCACAGACCACTCTGTGACCTACACAGCGGCTCTCCCGGCCTCAGTTTCCCCCATGGCACCCTCACAGCCCAGCGTGACTCAGGAGCTAGACTCTGGCTACCTGTGCATGTCTGAGAGGTAAACGCAAGCCTCACAAAGAGAAACTGTGAAGAGGGGCCCCTGACGGCGAAAAGGCTGCGTCACCCTGGGAAGGAGGCCCCCGACACTCTCCTGGCTCTGCTTCTTGGTCTTTTTTATGATCTTGTGAATCATTAATCGTCCCAAATCCAAACACTAAATTATGTAATAATTATAAAATGTCGATTATAAGAAATTTTGTTCAGTCTTTACCGGATGACCAAAGGAAGCTTCCACGAACATGGAGTAGCAAAACGGCTTAGCTGTGTGTGGCCAGGACTGTACCTCCCTTCTCTGGGGGATTCTGCTTCTCCCACCACTGATTCCAAACGCCCAGCCCCAGCTCTTCACGGGCTGAACTGTGTCCCCCTCCAAATTCCCGTGTTACAGCCCTGGCCCCCAGTGTGACTGTGTCTGGTGACAAGGCCTTGAAGGGGGTCATTAAGATGAAGAGAGATCATAAGGGTGAGTGTCCTTACAAGAAGAGACACATGCCCACGGAGGACAACGCCCCGTGAGGACACACTGGGAAGGCAGCCGTCCACAAGCCGAGGAAGAGAAACCAGCCCCGCCAACATCTTGAACCTGGACTTCTGGCAGTCGGTTTCTGTGCTACAGCGGCCCGTGCAGACTACCAGAGCAGCTGTTGGTCTGGGGATGGCGAGTGACCCCAGACAGATCGTCAACAGTACGTCCTGGGGATTCTTCCTAATATAACAGTCAGCCAAGAGCGCTTTTCTCTCCTACTGAAAGACTGAAGAAAATCAGTCTGCACTAGCTGTGGCCAAGGTTCCAAAATCGTGGGGCCAAGTGGCTTCAGAACGGAAAACAAACTTGCAAAGAACCAAGAAGTTCCCAGACTTCTTGGAGTTGGGAGACCCAGAAACCAGTAAGCCTGGAGCTCACACGGCTCCTGTCCTGACGGGAGCCAGTCAGCAGGCTGCCCTTAAAGCCGGTGTCAAGCAGGCCTCCTCCTCCTTACAACTAGGAAAAAGTTCTGAGACAAGAATCTTCCAAAAGCAATGCTCGTGACACCTGAAGTCACTTTACATGACAGCACGTGATAGTAACACTACAAATCCCACCGCAAAGTTGAAAAAGCAAAATGAGAAGAACCCTTCTGACGAACGGATGACCAAAGCAGCGTCTGGGAAGCTTGTGTGACAGTGTCTGGAGTTCGTTTTCTCTTTGTTTTTTAAGATGATTATTATCATCATTCTCATGGTGATTACCTCCATGAAAGCTTAGTTGCTTTTTCTTCTCTCTCTCTCTCTCTCTCTCTCTCGCTCGCTCTTTTTTTTTTTTTTATGCAAACTCTATGCCAACGTGGGGCTCGAACTCACCACCCTGAGATCGACCGACTGAGCCAGCCAGGCACCGGAGAGCTTGGCTTCCAGTATAGTGTTTTCGACAGTAACGGAGAAGATTACCTCTTCGCATGTCATTTCTCTGCATCCATCTTCCATCTGGTTATTTCCTTCTTCTATGTCTTGGCTTCCCAGCAGAGAAACCTCCTCCTCGCTGTCTTTTCTTATAAGCGTGTAACCACTCTGACAACAACCAAAAGAAGGCAGAAATCATAAGGACGGGACAAATCCAACATCAGAGCCCCTTCCTTTCTCTTAAGGACTCAGTTCTTTGAGAATAAAAAAGTCGTTAAGAGACGCTTAACGACAGAGAACAAACCGAGGACAAACCGAGGGTTGGGAGGGGACGGGCTAGATGGCGGACGGGCCTGAAGGGGGGCATTTGTTGCGGGGAGTGCTGGGTGTTGTGTGTACGTGAGGAATCGCTCAATTCTACTCCTGAAACCAATTGTACGTATGTGTTAACTAACCAGAACTTACATAAAAACTTGAAATCAGAAAGATTAAATTAAATTAAAAAGTTGTTTGCAAGGCCACGAGCACTCCCCCCACCCGCCCGCCGCGATGAGGATGGCTGGTATTAAAAGGCCAGTAAGTCTCCACGCGGTATGGAGGAGCCGGCTCTCTGCTCCCGGCCAGCAGGAATGTGAAGCGGCGCACCGCCGTGGAGAACAGCGATGGGGCCTCGGAAAATTAAACCCCCTCTACGCGATCCCACAGCTCCGTTTCCGGATACGTATCCAAGAGCACCGACGGCAAGGGCTGGAACAGAGCCTCATGCGCCCGCGCTCCCAGCAGCATTAGCCACAAAAGCTAAACGGCAGCAACAACGCGAGCAGCCGCTGACAGACGGACAGACCGACAAGCAGAATGCGGTCTCGCCACGCAACGGAATGTGACTGAGCCTTAAAAGGGGAGGGGTTGTGACACCCGCTGTGACATGGGTAAAGCTGGAGCCATGGTGCTCGGTGACGCAGGCAGGCACAGGACAGACGCGGTGTGGTCCGCGCACACAGGGAGGAGTCGAACCCCAGCAACAGCAGGCAGAAGGGCCGGGGAGGAGAGTGGGGAGTTGGCATCCCGGGGCCAGGGTCCCCGCTGGAGAGGATGACAGCTCCAGAGACAGACGGGGGCAACGGCCGCACAGTCCTGGGAACGTGCTTGGTGCCACGGGCTGCACACTCACAGAAAGTTACAATGGAAACGTCTGTTATGTCTGTTCTATCATAGTAGATTTTAAAGAAGTAAAATGAGAAAGCAGACACACAGGAAAACAGTCTAGAAAGAAATCTAGCAAAAGGGTGACCCTGGCTATAATGGAGGGACAGAAGAGGGCCCCGCTTTCTCTACATTCCATGTTTTCCATAATTTAGTTACATTATTTACATTAAAAAAAACCACTTTAAAGAAAAATAAAACAAGAATCCAGATCAAGGCACAGAAGCGCTTTAACGACAGTAACCGAGCTGAAGGACTTGGCTCCAACTCCCCACGGGCCCACTGCTCGCTGCGGCGGGGGCGACGCGCTGCAGAAGCTTCCGGAGCACGGGCCACAGCAGGGTGAAGGAAGGAGGCTCTGGCCCGAAGTCAGGACTCTGAGACCCTCCGAAAGGGTCCCCTGGGCGGCTCCTCATGCACCTGAAAGCGGACTCGGCTCGCCGCCCGCGCACACGCTCCCGACTCACGCTTACCCTGCTCACTCCAAAGCAGCTGCGCCCGTTGTGCAACCACAACAAGAAGAGCGGTTTTCCCAGGAAGAGGACGGGGACAGACAGCGCGGTGACGGCCAGCAGCAGTCTCTGCACGTGCTCCTACGGGCATGGAAGGGGAGGAAGCCCATTAGGATGCAAGGACGGTGCGAACCGGGTCCCCCGCCCACCTGGTGAGCGAAGACCAAGGACTGCGTCTCCTTCTTCGCAGTAACAAGGAACAGAAGGTAAACACAAGCCAAATCCTGTCTGCGGCTGCATGTCTTCTAGACTCCTGGCTCAATTCTAGAACCAAAGAGTAACACTGCCAACAGAGTGGGACAGTATCATTCGGTTCTGATCTATAAGGAACGAGTAAGAAAATTCTAGACAGATTCAAACTCCAGCTAATTAATTTTCTGAAAATACCGTAAGAGGGCGAATACCAACACAAGCTGTTCATTTCTTTATATTCCTATTCCGGATTTTTTCATTATCATTCCAAAGAGGACGCGAGGAACGTAAGCACATCATAAGCGGATTCACTTTTACATGAGAAAAATACTAAAAGAGGATTCAGAACAAAACTAAGAACATTTTCTTTAAAAAGTAGGGATACTGGGGCACCTGGGTGGCTCAGTGGGTTGGGCCTCTGCCTTCGGCTCGGGTCGTGATCTCAGGGTCCTGGGATCGAGCCCCGCATCGGGCTCTCTGCTCAGTGGGGAGCCTGCTTCCCCCTCTCTCTCTGCCTGCCTCTCTGCCTACTTGTGACCTCTCTCTCTCTCTGTCAAATAAATAAATAAAATCTTTAAAAAAAAAAAAAAGTAGGGATATTGGGCGTCTGGGTGGCTCTGTGGGTTGGGGCCTCTGCCTTCAGGTCAGCTTGTGATCCTGGGGTCCTGGGACTGAGCCCCACATCGGGCTCCCTGCTTGGCAGGGAACTTGCTTCCTCCTCTCTCTCTGCCTACTTGTGATCTCTGTCAAATAAATAAAAATCTTTAAAAAAATAAAGTAACTAGAAAAACAAGGGGATTCGCCAGCACTCAGAAACCCTCCAGAAATACACTTTCTTCCCAGCACTTCAGACGGCTACGAGTGGCAGTGAGTTCGCACGACACTGCTCGACCAGATCCCCCAGCCCAGCATCCAGGGCAGGGTGGCAGCTCGTGTGATCACGCCCAGAGAAACAGAAAGCCCCTACGTGCCCGGGAAGCCTATGGAAAGCACCTTCCATCACCCACTAATCGACACAAAAAGGCTCTCGGGAGGATTTCCTTTAAGTTCCTAAGAGTGGAAAAGAGCATTACCTACCTGCCCTGCATACAGGCCGTTTGTTTCACTAGCCGGGAATAAAAACATGTTGATAAATTCGATCAGAATGCTCGGGGCAGCTCTGGAGGTTTCGGCCGAGTACACCAGCCACTTATAGACGATCATGAAGATGAGGTACCCAAAGATGCAGAGCATGAAGAGAAGTTCTGGGACGGAAACCAAATAAATATTGAACTTCTTCCGGAAATGCCTAGGGAAAAAGGAATCGATCAAACCCTGAGCCGTCTGGACTGAGATAGAGAATAAAGAGTAAAGTACTCTTCCATTCCCTGTGATAAGGCTTAGCTCAGTGGAACATCTTTTGTCTTCTGACCACTCATACAGGATTCAGGTATGTCCATGAAGAAAACAAGTTTAAGCACAATGAAAATGCTGGTGTTTCATCATGAGACCCATTAAGAGTCAGAAAATACAGGGGCGCCTGAGTGGCTCAGTGGGTTAAGCCTCTGCCTTCAGCTCAGGTCATGATCCCAGGGTCTTGGGATCGAGCCCCGCATCAGGCTCTCTTAGCAGGGAGCCTGCTTCCTCCTCTCTCTCTCTGCCTGCCTCTCTGCCTACTTGCGATCTCTGTCTGTTGAAAAAATGAATAACATTTTTTAAAAAATTAAATTAAATTTACAAAAAAAGAAAATACAACCTCTTCCTCTTTACACACTAGTGCTGGTAAACAAACAGTTTGCTGATTTATAAAATGAAAAAAGAACATAACAAAAATGAGTTCCAGAAATAAATCGGAATGTACGTGTTGCATGCCTCCCTCCCTCGAATGTCGGACTCTATGGGGGCAAAGGCTGTATTCTCTGTCTTCAGCACCACTCGATGAGCAGAGCGTAGACCAGTGCCCTATGCAGTATAGTGCCCCCGTGTGCTATACACTCAATACATAGCTGCTAAATAAACGCATCATTGAACAAACACCTGTATTGTCACCACCAAATCACAGAAACAACACACCACTGCACCAGCCGCCTTTAAGACCCGGACAGTCTACCCTCAAGAAGCAAAGTTTAAGAAATACCAAGCTTGGCTTATAAATACTGCTTAAAAAAAAAAAAAAAAATTTGTACTTACAAGTGGTTAAATATTCCCAGAATGACTCCAAAAGTCATGTGAATAATTCCTAAAATCACAGACATTTTCATTTTGAAAGAGTTTAGAAAAGTGAGACGGTTTGTGGCCAAGTTCCAAATCTGAAGACAAAACAAAACAAGACAAGACATCTTTAACTTCCTTCAACTGCTTGAGGGCACACAGGTGACACTGGGCAAATTTTCCTACCTTAAATCAAAAGGCAGCTAGAGATTTAAAAAGAAGGCAACATTCAGACTTTCTTCTTGATGCCTCTGAGCTGAGAACTGCTGATTTTCTTAAACCAGGGCCACAGACTATTACAAACAATTCTATCTTTAACGTAAAGTTCAAAGGACACCAAATGAAACAATACTGTGTTTAGGGATCCATGCCTCGGCGGCGATACTAAAAGGAAGTGCAAGAGAAAGAGTAACAGAGTCCGGGGGGGTGGGAAGTTCCCTCTGGGGACAGCTGGGGACAGCGGGGCCCGTTCCAGGTCCCCGGGTCCCTTACCCTGGGCAGGGGCCAAACAAATATGCATGTTGTAACGTTACATACATGTTTTATACATTCTGTGTATGTGCATTTTATAATAAAGTTTAACAGAAAACAAGGAAGCAGGGAGAGGGGGAGAGAGAGAGAAGAGGAGGGGGAGGGAGAGAAGAAGGAAGGAAGCAGAAGCGCAGAGCAGCCAAACCACGCTGCTGATAAGGCCCAGGGGCTCCGACCTCCGGGGCTCCCTGTCCCAGCCCCTCCAGAGCCCACTGTGACTGCTTCTCTCACTCTCTGAAAAAATCATTCTGAGAGTCCCTCACTCGGGGGGATTAGGAAAAGGGAAATAGGACCTCTTAGGACAGAAAGACTTGTTCTTTTTAAGTGCAAGTAAGACTTTACAAAGAAGACTCTCGGCTGACTTCAGCCTGACTGTTCGGACCCGTGCGAAGAGCCTGCTGCCAGCGGCCACTGTGACCCAGAGGGCTGGAGGGGGCAGGACAGCAGGAAAACTAGCAACAGTGAGACACAGCAACGGCGACATTAAGTCTCCGTCGATGACTAAGCTAAACGCAACTGGGCACAGAACGATCTTTCAGGCAAAGAAGGCGGGAGAGAAAGGTGCATCTGTATGTTCACAAAGACACCTGCGAGGAAACACGAGAGACTAACCCAGCGGTTCCCGTGCTGGAGGTGGGGGGCTGAGGGGATAAGGACGGGGTGGGGGAGACCTTTCAGGAGAGCTGGACCTTGTACATACACGAGGTACACACATGGCTCTATTTTTGAGCTGTATCAGAGTAATGTCGATTTTTAAAATTAAACCAAAGCAAAAGGAAGCAGTACCATGCCTCGGTCTCCTCCTCCCCCTCAAAACACCCACTTGAACTTTCTTTCTCGGGGCCTTTATTCAGAAACGTTTCTTTCCTTCAAGTTAGGCCACACGTTATTAGGACTTTGCCTCCAAAACGAAAGGGAATTATTATAAAAGTTTCTTCACGCTTCCAATTATATGAAGACAGAAGGCGAAAACGTTGAATTGTACAAATTATGTGTAGCCCGAGACTGAAGAGAACAACCGGAGGCTTGGGCAGCTCGGATGAAGGTAGGCTGGACCGGCGTCATTCTGTTTCCTCATTCCCGCATGCACTTACAGCAGGTGCCCCAGACCAACTTTGAGCTGGTCTCTAAGCTCCCCTTTCCAGGGTGAGATTCCTCCAGAAGATGCCCGAGAGTCCCGGAAAACAGTGCCTCAGCCTGGAGGAGGCGTGGTAGGAGCCTGATGAAGGCCTGGCGGTTGCAGGGGTGGGGGGGGGGTGGGAACTGGCTCACTGAGTGCTATTGGTGTGGCGGGGCGGGGCGGGGGGGGGGGGGGGACAACCTTGCAGGGGACAGCAGTCCTTCCTGGCCCCCTGCAGCTACATCTTCCTTTTCCAACACTTCCCATTTCAAAAACTACTTCCACAAGCACCCTGAGAACTCTGAGCTCCCTTTCAGGCTCTAAAACTCCATACTATTTCTTTCTAGATCAAAGGATAAAAAATAATAATAATCCCCACATACAAAGAAGAAACAGAGGGAGCAGCCTGCATTGAATGGCTCCTGAAGGGCTGGCTCCCCCTAGAGTAAAAACAGGTCAGGAACCATGACAGAGTGTAGCTCCCCCTCTGCACTGACCCGCTTTCCCAAAGGGACAGCTCAGCTTCATCTCTAAACCAAGTTCATTGGCACATGGTTCACTGGCACATAAACCAAGTGCATGACACACATGGGCCACCGCCGGCCACACAGAAACCCCCGCAGGGCATCTTCCCCACCGTGTGCAACGGTGTAAGCTGTGCCCAAGAGCCCGAGGGAGCCCCGTGACAATGACAACCAGGCGGCACCCCAGAGGAAGCCGCGATCGTGACGAGGAAAAAGTACACTCACGGGATCGATGCCAAGAGGGTAAGGGCCTTGGAACACTCCGGGAACACTCGGGTCCAACTGCAAAACCCTGCTGCGCCTGACGACGGAGTCACTGTAACAGAGAGCGGAGTGAGCGGTGGCGCGGCCGGGGGGACGGAGGAGCCTTGGGGAAACGCTCTTCCCCCGAACACCGCGCAGGGCGCCCCGGGCCGCGCGCTCACTTCCAGAGCGCCATCCTCCTGCGCTCCGCCGGGGCGCGGCTGTAGCTGTACATGGCAGACACGTTCCAGCCGGAGCCGAACAGGTTGACCGACTTGGAGAAGCAGTCGTTGTAGATGAGGCCCGTGTACACCGAGAACAGCCCCATCAGCAGCAGGATGTAGCGGCCGTTGAAAAACATGCGCGTGATCTGCGGGCAAAGCGGGTGCCGTGAGCAGAGGACGCCCCAGCGCTGCGCATAGGCCCACGCCCCCTCCAGCCCAGTCAGGGACGCTTACTGCCAAACACCCACATTTGAGAAACGTCCCGTTTAGTCAAAAAGAGGGGAACGACTACTAATCACCCACCCAAGTGTCACAAGCGCGAGTGTCTATGCTCTTACCTCCTGTGACTGCTTTAGTCTGGGATGGTTTTCATTCAACACCAGCAAGAGGGCAAATAAGAACATCACAAAGCCATGTCCAAAGTCTCCAAACATCACGGCGAACAAAAAGGGGAAAGTGATGATGGTGAAGAGAGCTGCAGGGAGAGCAAAGCAAGAGACTCGGTTCGCCAGAGGCAGAAAATTCTAATTAATGCCAACACTTGACCTTCTCCAGAACTCCCGAAAGAGAATGGACAGGCGGACATGAGTGCTTTACACGAAGCACGACAACACGACGGGAGCCCTGAGCCTGCTTTATCAAGCGTCGGCCGCATCCTTGCAGGCAGATGCGCCAGCGATCAGACAAAAACTCCTCAGGCTTCCGACCTGGGTTCACTTCTCTGTAGCTCCCAACTCCGTAGGCGTCCACAATGTTCTGAAACCCCTCGGTGAACTTGTTGGTGCGGATGAGAGTTGGGGGTGTTTCTTTTGTTGGGATCGTGTTCATAAATGAGGGGATCGTAGCACCGCTCTCTCTCTTTCGCATAAAAAGAAAGAAAAAAAAATTACCATCCAAGAGTTCATTCAGCAAACAATGGCTCCCTGCCAGCCCAGACAGGCAAGGCTCTGCGTGGCCCATGGGGACGTGCGAACCACCACTGGGGGTGGGGGTGAGTCGAGGGCAGCTGAGTGGCCAAAGGAATCAGGAAGTCTTGGGGGGCAGGACTTGGGGGTTCGATCTTACAGAAGGAAGAGTGTAGCCAGGCTGCAAGGGCGGGAAGCAGACAGCAGGGCCGGGAATGACAGGGAATATACATAAGGCAGTCTCAGAATCACTAATGTAAAACTGAAATTTAATCTTTTATCTCTAAAAATGTTCAAGAGGAATCTGGAGACAACTATACAATATTAGCTAATAAAACCAAAAAATAGATGAGGATGAATCAAAATGTCAACATTAGTACAGCAAAGTCATGTACATAGCTTTTTCCTTCAGTGTTCACAATTCTTCAGAAATGTGTTTATTTATAATGGAAGGGAAAACCTTTTTATTTTATATTTTTTTAAAGATTTTATTTATTTATTTGAGAGACAGACATCACAAGCAGGCAGAGAGGCAGGCACAGAGAGAGGAGGAAGCAGGCTCCCCACTGAGCAGAGAGCCCGATGCGAGGCTCGATCCCAGGACCCTGAGATCATGACCTGAGCCGAAGGCAGAGGTTTAACCCACTGAGCCACCCAGGAGCCCTGGGAAAACCTTTTTAAATAAAATAAAACAGGTTATTAGAAGAGTAGTTGATTTTCCAGTCAAATTCTATTTAAGACACTTGCTGGTAAGGGGATTCTGGGGAATCCCAGAATCCCAGATTGCGGGATTCCCAAATGGCACACAGTTCTGAAGCTCCCCAAACCCTTCAAGAGCAGACAGGGCAACCAGAGAGCAAAACCAAAATCCCTCAGACAACACTTCTCACAAAAGCATGTCCCCACAAGCCACCACATGCAAATGGGGACAAACCGCTCAACGCAACGACACCTGCGTGGTAAGTCTCCAGACCAGGGGAAGCGAGGGAAGCAACATGGCGTTGGAGAGACCCAAGGAAGAAACATCCCAAGAGAGTCAAAGGCATTCCCTGGAAAGCACAGAAGGCTGACCCAAGAAAAGCAGCTGGAACTGGGAAGGGTTCTGTCTACTTCCAGAGCATATGAGTGCAAGGGGTCCCACGAGAAGTGAGGTCTGCGGGGACACAGCAGTCCAGCCCCCCAAACTCAAAGAACACCGGCCGGGACATCCTCCCGCCACAGGGGCGCCCCACAGATGAGAGACCCGGGAATGAAACTGAAACTGAGCAGGACAGGAACAAAACAGATAAGGAAAGAGAAGGTCTAGGTAAAAAGAGGGAGAGAGGAAGCCTCAGGTCCAGGGGCTTACAGATTTTTGATCCCTGCTCAGAAGTAGTAAAGAAAATTCTGTGAAGTTAGGAAAGTGATCCTGAAGTACCTTTAAAAGTTCCTTAAGTACCTTGAACAGTTCCATAAAACCAAGATAAAAACAGACGATGTATTTAAATTATATGTAATGCATGGTTCCCTTTGGTATCTTAAAAATATTTTCAAATGTATAAATATGTCTAATACAGAATTTCCTTGAGTATTTAAACATGCTTTCAGAAAACTCATTACATTTTAGAGCGATCAAAAGAAGGATGGAGGTCAAAACTTACATAAAGTTATAGTAAAAAAAGACTGAGCAGAACAATATCCTGGACAAGGAAACCACGCCAGAAGGACATGTCCACAAAACAGACAAAAATTTACCTTATTCATTTTAAAATGAGCAAAAAAAATTATGAAAATAATGCATGATAGGAAAAAGCAACAGGAAGCAGAATTAGGTATTAGAAATACCTATTAGATAGGTATTTATTTATTAGATAAATACCATTATAAAGGAGGTTAACAGAACTCAGAAAGAAATCAGAAATAAAAGAAAAAATATTCAGCAACGAGACAACGCTAGATGTTGTCTAAGTTGTGAAGAAACCAAGGTGGAGAAACCTTCCTGGTTAACAAAGCCATAAGAGAAACAGGTAAAAGAATGGAAATTTTTAAAAAATCAAAAAGAAGTAAAGGAAGATAAAAAGGACTCAAGGGGTGGGGGGAAAGACCCAAGAAAAAGTGACAAACACTGAAGAAAAGCAAAGAAGGTTCAACTGAAACCTCACAGCGGGTCCTGAAGGAGGAAACCAGAGCAAAAGAACAGAACCAATACCAAAAAGCATAATTCGGGAGAACTCTTCTGAAACTTGCTTTAAAACTATGTGTTAAAAGAATCACTGGGGACGCCTGGGTGGCTCAGTTTGTTAAGCAGCTGCCTTCAGCTCGGATCATGATCCCAGCGTCCTGGGATCGAGTCCCACATCGGGCTCCTTGCTCGGCGGGGAGCCTGCTTCTCCCTCTGCCTCTGTCTGCCTGTGCTCGCTCTCTCTCCCTCTCTCTCTGACAAATAAATAAAATCTTTAAAAAAAATTTTTAAAAAATAAAAGAATCACTGACCTCTAAACTAATACATTGTATGTTAATTAACTCAATTTAAATTAAAATGTTTTAATCAAAAAATAAAACTATAGGGGCATCTGGGTGGCTCAATCGTTAAGCATCTGCTTTCCGCTCAGGTCATGATCCCGGGGTCCTGGGATTGAGCCCTGCACCCAGCTCCCTGCTCTGAGGAGAGCCTGCTGCTCCCTCTCCCGCTCTCCCTGCTTGGGTTCCTTCTCTCGTTGTCTCTCTGTCAAATAAATAAAAATCTTAAAAAAAAAAAAACGGAATACTCAAGTGGCTCCTGAACAGAAAAGATTTTCAGCTTCACTCAGAATAAGTGCAGGGCAGCGGCTGGTATCATCAAACCGACGCGGCCAGGCGGTATCTGGGACTTTCTCCGGCAGACGGGTCAGGTGTCAGTCACTGCGGTGGCATTTGCGACACCACAGACCACCTGAACAAGCAGGGGACCCGTGCAACTAGCTATAGTACATCCGCAGTGGAATATTACATAGTTATAGAAAGTAGGAAAGTCTGATTAAGTGAAAAGAACAGTATGAATGAATAGCACGTAACCCTTTGTGAGAAAACTATCACTGGGGCGCCTGGGTGGCTCAGTGGGTTAAGCTCTGCCGTCAGCTCAGGTCATGATCTCGGGGTCCTGGGATCGAGCCCCGCATCAGGCTCTCTGCTCAGCGGGGAGCCTGCTCCATCCCCCACTACCCTGCCTGCCTCTCTGCCTAATTGTGATCTCTCTCTCTCTCTGTCAAATAAATAAATCTTTAAAAAAAAGAAAGAAAACCACCCATTCATACCTGCTTGCCTACGACTACGAAACTCGAAGGCATAACACTGAGTTATCTCTGAGACAACAGGGGTAGGAGGAGGCCACTCCGCTGTGTCCTTTACTTTATATACATCTTACTTTCAACCACGAGACCCTATTCCGTACTCCGAGTGCAAACGACACATGCACGGCACAGCTCTGGCTCTCCAGACACCAGCCCGCGCAGCGGCCTCTCACCGCTCAGGACTGTCCCGCTTCCCCTGTGCGGGGCAGCCGGCTCCCCCGCGCCCCCAGAGCAGCCCCGTCCAGGCGTCTGGTCCCGGCGGGGGCGGGCCCCGGGCCGCCTTACCGAGCCGTCCTCGAGCGCCCGGCGCAGGTCGTGCAGGTCGGCCTCGGGACACCAGACCTCGGCGATGAGGCACTTGTTGGTCACGTCGAAGCTGCACATGTTCAGCATGTGGTAAATGGCCTTCATCTTCTTCACCTGGACGACGTGGCTGTAGACGGATTCGGCGGCTTTACACAGCACTTGCCTTAAATAGTCCTCGGTTTTGTGAAGCACCTGGGTGGGCACAAACATGGGCTTCCAGCACTGGGGACACGTGTCGGTCTCCGTCCGTCGGGCACCTGCCTCCCCTGGGGGCAGGCAAGAGAGAGGCTCATTCCTTCTCGTCCTGACCCCAGCACCACTGGGAAGTGGGCGGAAACCTAAGCCCAGGCGACCTGAGGCTCCCTCTAGGGAGCTGCCCCTCCAGGACACCACCCCAAGGGGACAGGAAATGGTTAGATGTCACCATCTGGGTGGCAGCGCCGTGGCAGGGCTGGGCCCACGGAGCTCCCCACTCTTGCCACTCCCAGCCTCAGCTCAGCAACCTGTCAACCCTACAGCCACTACCTCCACCCCACATGTGGCCTGAAACCCCTTTTGCTGGAGTGGGTCGGAGTCTACTTCTTGCCCCCAAGAGCTCTCACCGGTATTAGCAGAAACATCAGTTAACATGGTGAAAGCAAATAACGGGCACCACTTTAAACACACTGATGACCAGAGCATCTTCTCCAAAGTCCCTTCGACACCACCTAGGTCGCTAACAGGCCGCTAAAAGAAAACTTGCATGAAGAGGAGGGAGGTAAGTGATGGCCCAATCTCCCTGAAACACTTTGATTTGTCTGCACCAAAATTTTCCGTATCAAAAAAGAAAGCAAACGGATTTATAAATGTTTTACACGCCTCAGAGAAGGAGGCGACCGGTTCCCGTTCACTCACAGTGTAAAGATCCTGAATCCGGGTGTTCAGTCCTTCCTGGATCTCCTTCCGCTCCTCAGCAGTGTTCGGGTAGGGGTAAACGTGGCAGTGGTAACTAGAAGACAGAATTTAATAGTCGCGCATCCGTTGGGACCAGAAGAGGCTACACCAAACACCAGGACTAAATTCAGTGTTCCACACGGGCACATCTCCCTCCAAATGGGATAAAAGCAGCCCCTTGGGAGAAAAAGGCGCGGACACGCACCGGCCCACAGTGCGCAGACCTGCACAGACACTCAACAAACGTCCCCAGGACTGAACAAATCGAGCAAACTCTCTCGGTTCCATGTTCCATTCCTGCCCTCGATCATCCCTGGAGCTCGCTCCCAATTCCTACTTTCTGAAATTCACCACCATCCTTGGGCTGGGAATCATTAAACAAGTTTAAAACACAAAAGCAAGGGGCGCCTGGGTGGCTCAGTGGGTTAAGCCGCTGCCTTCGGCTCAGGTCATGATCTCAGGGTCCTGGGATCGAGTCCTGCATCGAGCTCTCTGCTCAGCAGGGAGACTGCTTCCCTCTCTTTCTCTCTCTGCCTGCCGCTCTGTCTACTGTGATCTCTCTCTGTCAAATAAATAAATAAAATTTTTAAAAAAACCAAAAAACACAAAAGCAAGAACACACAACAGGGATTACCTTAAAAGAAAGAGAAAATAAAGGGCGATGGGAGGGAAAAAAAGCTCTGGTTTCCTAGCAACTGCCTTTGACACGTGGTGCAGTAAACCTCTCCCTCATCTCCCAGGGCCCATCTCCTGGGGGCCACACAGCACCCCAACATGTGGGGAACAGAGTCCCTCCCCGCCTGCGATCTCCCATCCACCTTGACATTTTTACGCCACACTTAACATTTTAAGTTCTATTAAAATTACTTAACTCTAGCCTTATCCCAAGCAACAATATCTACGAAATCATGGGTTTGCGTGCTGGTTACAGTTTTTCTACTGTATGTTAAAATAAATAAATATTTATAAGAATAACACCAGATTCGTCCATATAATACCTGAAATGGCTTTCCAGGCCACCCATGACTGAGAATCAGCCTCTGGGAAACACTTTGCAAAGGAAATACCCAAGCCCATCCTCACTCCCAAAGAAACAAGACCATCTAAAAACAAAGGGCGTTCTTTGGCATTTTTGTTTGGCTTTTGCTTATTTTTCCACTGTTGACGAGAATATACGTCAGTGAGATTCTCGCTGAGGCACTCCTCGCCTGTGTCGCCTCAGTCCCGAAGCCCAATGGCGTGGGGGCTCGCCGAGCTCACCCAGCGAGTGGGTGGCGACGCCAGGCTCTGGATCCGGGCCTCCTCCCCCGCGGCGCACAGAGAAACCTGCCGAATGTTCGACCTAAAATGAACCAGATGCTCCCTGACGACAGACAGGCCTCTGTGGAGCTCAGTGCAACAGGGAGGCACAAAATATTCAAATTTGGTTCCTTCTCCAATTATTCTTAAGCCCTGATGCCCAGGGAGGAAATAAAAACCTGAGAATGTTATTAAAAACAGTCTCTACTCTAAAGCATCTTATGTATAACGCTGGCAAGAGAGAGGGCTAATTAAACGTTAAAAACAAAGACACAGAACTAAGCACAGCAATCTTTGCACCCACTGCATTTCCCCTCGGACACAGGGCTATTTAGGGAGAACCAGAAGCCACTGTATATGAGCACAGAGATGAAATGAAACGTTTCTTGTTCTTACCAATCACATATCTTCTTAACTTTGTGGCCAATCTGCTCTCCCCAAAAGGATATTAAAAACACGTACCATTTTATAACTTCCCCCTAGAAGAAGAAATCAGGGTCATTGTTACTCCTGTGTCCAGAACTCTGAGGACTCTGGCAGCTCAAATTCTGTCACAAGTGAGCACCTTCACACCCTCAACAGGTGCAGACGCCCTCGGGCCCCCAGGCTCCGTAACCGCACCTCGCCCACCCCAGCCGCGTGTTCTTCCCCCTAACTTCAGCCCGGGCAGTGGCGTGGGGTCATTTAGAGACACGAAGAGTGGCCCAAAGTCCGAGTCCCCGGATGTGCCTAGTCCAGCTGAGGTCACACAGGGCAGTTCTCTGCCTTCTGGATCCATCTCATACGGTAAAGGAGCCTTGTCACGGTTTAGTTATGTTTTTCACACTTCTGGGCTCTTTGTTGGTGGTTTCACTATTTAAAATGGTCCTCGGGCGTAATACTGAAGTGCTAGCTAGTGTTCCTGGGCCCAAGAAGGCAGAAATGCGCCTCACACACAACAAGCCATGTGTCAGATAAGCTTCCTACAGGCGTGAGTCATAGCGCTATTGGCAAGAGTTCCGTGTTAATGAATCCACAATACATATTAAATAGAAACACACATAAAACAAGGTTAGTATTGATCGGTGGACAAAAATGTAAGCAGAGGCTCGCAGAAACTAACCCTGTGTTTCCCTAGGACAGTGAGTGGTTCAGTATCATTAATTCACATGTCCATAGAGACCCTACAGAACTACCATAAATACTGAGAAATACTCTCTAAATAAAACTGAGTACATTTTTAGCCCATTTGCCAGGCCCTGTTCTAGATGCTAGGGATACAGAACTGAACAAAAGAGACAAAAATCCCTGACCTGGAAGGGGTGGGGATGTATCCAATTTCCCAGCGAGAGACACAAAGAAAACACAGAGTCCACCACATGAGGAGAAGTGGTAACTGCTCCAAAGGAAACAGAGCTGGAGGAGGTGAAGGAGGGCATGGGGTTGGGGGCTGTGACTTTATAAATAGGGTGACCAGAGAAGGCCTCTCTGAGAAGGGGACATCGGAGCTTAAAGGCTAAAGGAAGGGAGGGAGCCGTGTGGCCACTGCAGGAAGGGCCTTCCGAGCCACAGAGAGCTCGTGAGGAAGCAGGTACACAGACAGCAAGGAGGCCACACACTGATGGGTGGACAGGGCAGATGTGTGATGAAGCCACAAGAGGGGACGCTATGAGGCTCTGGGTGTTTTGCCAAGTGAGACAGGAAGCCCGTGGTGGGTTTTAAGAGGGGAAGTGAAGTGAAGGCTTACAGGGATGGTTCTTGAAGCTGGGAGGAGAGAGCACGGTAGGGCAGCGGCCGGGGCAGGAACTGAGGACAGAGGCTGCTGCAGAAGGGAAGAACTTGAGGTGTGGCTACTCGTGTCCTGGATCAGGGCAGGAGCAGGGGGCGGGACCAGGAGACCAGAGTCTCTTCCTAGTTAGAACACATCTCCAGTCACCCTGCCACAGGATTAACACAAGGTCTGAGGGTAAAGAGAAGAATCAGGAGGAGCCCCAGGATGTGGGACCTGAGCAGTCAGAAGGACAGAGCTGCCACTTACCGAGCCGGACAAGCCTGGCAGGGCAGGTTTGCTAAGAAAGATCCAGAGTCCAGCTTTAGTCATCGGGTGGAAATGTCTTCCAAGGATTTCAAAGAAGACCTAGAGTAGCCAGTTACATACAAAAGTCTGCTTTCGTGGGGAGAGATCCAAGCTAAGCAGTTGGGAGGCAGTATTTAAAGCTATGAAATTATATAGGATCCCTGAGGGCACACAGAAGAGAGAAGCGGTCCAAGAATCCAGCCCCAGACCACAAAAGATGGGGAACAGGCCAGGGAGCCTCAAGGAAGCACAGGCAGGTGGGTCCACACAGCAAGGACAAAGGGCAGCGGGGGCAGAGGAGATGGCCTATGTGGCTGGGAGATTGGTCACGTTGAATAAGTGAGTACACTGACCGCATAATTCATGAAACGTACTGAGGATAATGGGAGCCAGATTTCTCACTGGCAGGAAAGAGACTGCAAACACAGGGAAAAGGTTCCATCCAGAAAGAACAGATCAGGATTTTGAGTTATATAGTTCCAGCACATGGTTTCATAATCTCGAAGCGCAGGGAGCCACAGAAGCACGTACGGCTGCGTGTGCGCACGCACGTGTGTGTACACATACGCTCCGACTGCTCAAAGGGCCCAGGGGCAGCGGCACTCTGGGACCCAGATCTTTGAGAACACCGTCCTCTGCTAAAAGGCACCAGCGGTCCTTGGAGAAACGGCCAATTTCAGGCTGAGGCAGGGAAAGCACAGGACGAAGCTGGGGCATCTCACTGTGCCACAAAGGAAGGGAAGGCTCGGCGGAAGCTGCCAGAGGCCAAAGGACACAGGACCACGAGGGAAGGGACCCTCAGCAGCCAAATCATCAGGGACAATTTGAGTGTCCAAATAAATACAGACCGTAATAGATTACGAGTCATCGAACACAATGGAAATGCACGAATCCGCAGATGCAAGGGGGGGAAGCCGGCCTTCTGTGCGATCACTAGTAAGCAGAGCAGGAATGAGGACCGCGTGGCAACCATGACCGAGGGGACCGGCTCACGAGAGTCGTCCGTGGACGCTAGCGTGGTGAGCGGGCTGGTGAGGAAAGGGACATGAGCACAGCTTGGAAATTATAAATCACCACAAAGGGCAACGTGGTGACGAGACAGTGGAGAAACCCGGCAGACACCAACATGACCAGGTGACATCACGTGTCACATGGTGGGTGCTGAGGTGGCCAGAGAGACACTTCCAAAGTGTTCCTGCCAAGAATGTGGCCCGAGTTTGGTTGTGAAGAAACCTCAGGGGGCCCAGAGGGAGGGGTCGGCCCACAGGATGGGATGCATGTTCCTGACGCCACTGCAGGCCCAGGGAGGGAGCTGGAGCAGGAAGGAAGGAGAACCGCTGGGAGGCGGGAATGGCATGTTTGATTGGACAAAAGTGCTGCACCTGCACTGGTTTCTCTCATGGGGGGCAGGTGGTTGTGTAAGAGCATCCTTGCCTGGGGGCACACACACGGGAGTAACTCCGGGGTGATGGAGCCATGTCTGTGGCCTCCTCTCCCCAGGCGTGTAAAGAACCTAGTGAAAATGGGGACAGAGTCGCCGAGAGAGCACGTGACTGATGGAGCAAATGTGGGAACGTGGGAACAATTGGGAAATCCGGGTGAAGGGATACAAGTCTGTTCTCTCCTGGCAAGTTTTCTAGAAACTGAAATTATTCCAAAATAAGTTACAGAAGAAACTAAACTGGGGGGAAGAAAGAAAACAGCATTTCTAGCAAACCTGAGTTTGAAGATGCCCCAATTTTAAAACTACTACTGGGTCAAGGAGCGTAACCACCTCGGGTTGGAAGATGGGACAGGGACAGCACACAACACAGAATATAGGTCACTGAACCAAGGGAAATCACCAGAGTCTAGCCCCGACACAGAGTGGTCAGCACCTAGAAACAAGACCGACAAGGCGGACGTGGCTAGAAATACGCTCTGTCTGCAACGACGCGAAGGGATGAGACGGTCAACCCAAAAGGCCCTAAACCTGACACAATAACCAGATCGTCGACCCCGAGCGCCAGCTGTCAAATCAAACCCCCATCTCCCACAGAACAAGCTCCAGAAGAACACACGCTGAAAGCCGGCACGGGCTCTCCCTACGCAGGATAATGAAGATGAATTTTCTCGTTCATCTTTCCCATTTTCTTCCCAATTTCCTGCCACAAGCACGTACTTCCTTTGTAACGACAGGGGAGTTGTCTTTTCAGGATAATACATCTCTGCAGTCCACTTCTCTGTATGTCTCCCCACCTCTAACCCCACCGCTCACACGTTAGGAAGGAAGGGAGGGAGGGGAGGAGGGAGGATGGAAAAGGAAATCTGATAAGGAATGACGTAGTTACACACAGTTACAGTTTCAAAGCGCGTCCCCCGAAACATGCATTAGTTACAAAGGAAAAAGATGACTTCGTACTGGAGAAGCCTAAAAGCATCACTACCTCAACCAAGCGATCAAAGCAAACGTTACCAGCCACGGGACAAGCCGAATCATGTGCTCGGTGGGACACAGTGAGGAGGACATAGCATCACTTCTGCCAAAGACCCATGCCCCGGATCTAATCATGAGGAAAGATCAGACAAACCCAAATACAGGGACATTCTACCTAAGAATTTTCAAATATCAACGTTCTCTAAGTCCAGGAAAGACTGAGAAATTGTCCCAGAATGAAGAAGACCAAAGAGATGGGACAGTGAGATCCAAACTGATTCTGCACTAGACCTTCGCTACAAAAGGTGGTACCGGTCGACCGGTGAAACCCGGATGGGGTCTGAGGCCCGGAGGGCAGCGACGTGTCTCCCTTCATTTCTGGGAAGCATTTCAAGAAAGAGCCCTCGACTTTAAGAGCCACACCCGAATGCCCTGGGGGATGATAAGGCCTCAGGTGAACAACTCACTCTCAAGGGGCTCCCTGTGCACCGTGCATCCAACACCACTGTCAGTCTGTCATCGTTAAAAGGTGATCATGACGTTGACTCACCGTTTCAGGGTCCTCGAGGGGCTCATCCAGCTCTGCATAGGTCACAATGGTGTACCCTTTGCAGACCCTCCACAGCATTTTCTCAAATGCTTCCACTTTTCCTTGGTTAATTAGGCCAGATATAAATCTATGAGACAACAGAGACAAGGTGCAGTCAGTTGAAAGCAAGGAATTCTCTGACTGCATCAAAAGGAGAAATGAATCATTTCAGGCAAAATGGTGAAGATATTCTAAAAGCCCTCCAAATGCAAAATATCTAAAATGCTAGATAAAAAATTGGGGTGGGGAGCATCTGGGTGGCTCTGTTAGTGGCCCATCCAAGTCCTGACTTGGCTCAGGTAGTGATCGCGGAGTTGTGGGATCGAGCCATGCGTCAGGCTCCACAGTCAGCTGGGAGTCTGCCTGAAGGTGCTCTCTGCCTCTGCCCCTCCCCCTCCTCACACACACACATACTCTCCCACTCTCTCTATGAGTAAATAAATCTTTTACAATAACTTATTTTTGAAACATCCCTTCAAGGGTATAGCTGCGCCCATAATTAAGAGAAATTCTTGGGATCCAAAAATAAACCAGGATCTCAGCTACCTTGATGTATTCCACTAACCCAGTATCTTAAAGCCTTCAGTTTCAAGGTCAGCACGGGAGACAGGAGACAGGCACTAGGTCTATGTAAGCTAAGAAGATGAAACTGAATCTTTCCCAATGCCTGCTAAGGTTGGGACTCCCACCCCCTCACCCCCAAAGACCTACACCCTTAGTGAATGGGTGGACTAGAAAAAAAAAAAACTTCATCTTACAAAGGAACCCTCAAATAAACTTATTTATCTTAGTTTGGGTTCTAGATAGAAGAGGGAAAGTCTTCCTTGAGAATTTATTTATTTATTTTTTGAAGATTTTTATTTATTTGAGAGAGAGAGGGAGAGAGCACTAGTGGGGTGAGGGGCAGAGCGGGGGGAAGCAGACTCCCCACTGAGCAGAGCCCAACTCAGGCCTCGATCCCAGGACCCTGAGATCATGACCTGAGTCAAAGGCAGACGCTTCACCAGCTGAGCCACCCAGGCACCCCCGCCTTGAGAATTTATAACCACAGGTTAGAATGCACTCAGTTTCATGGCTGAAATTCACATTACTTCCATAGCAAGAAAAGGAAAAACAAAAAAATCCAAGCTGAGAAATTAATGTAAAACGATTCCAGGCTGGTGGAATGCTCCCCATTATCTGATAGATGTAAAAACAAATTCTCGCTGAAGGAATACATCCTCAAACTAAATCGTCATCGGATTCCTACAGACAAGGAACAGAGGAACAGATGTTCGTAATAAAAAGAACTCACAAATCACATGAGGAAACAAGTTACCATTGGCTGGAGTAAACAGAAAGGATTAATAGCAGAAAAAGATCCTTAAAATACAATTAATGAGTTAACCAACTCAGTTTAGCCCCTATGTTTCCACCAAACAAAACAGGAGCTGACGCTTCACTGAGCGATTATTTTAGCCTTACTGGAATGACACTGAATGGCATAAATGTTCCTTCTTTCCAGCTCATTATACCAAGAGAAGAAGTTCCCATGGTATTTATCTAAAAAGTCAATATAGCTGAATAACTCCTCTCGGCAAACACAGAAGTACAGTGTTTTCTCAAACAGATATTCACTTTCTCGCACTCCACCACAGGCTTTCAAATGGTCGCATTCATCCCCCTGAGGACGACAAGGACAGCGGGACGCTCAGCCCCCGGCGGTTGTCACCTACCCCAGTTTTGCTCCCAGCCTCTGCATACAGCTGTAGTCCAACAAGGAATCATTCTCTAAGGGAGGGAATTCTTCGTAAGTGGGTTCAAACTACAAAGAAATACGAAACCAAGCGTGTCTCATTACAAGTGACACTTTATTTCCCAAGTCACGTTTCCGAACGAGTTTACGGAGCATCCTAACTGCCCGACCTGGTACTGACGCCCCGGGTTAACTCGGATGTGGAACACAGCTCTGGTAAATTAAAAAGATCCCGTCCCTTGTGTAAAGAACTCCTCGAAGTCAGGTTGCTAGAGATAAGGGTGTTGTAACTTATGTCACTACCTCACTCGGAGGCAGAGCGCTCGGTCAGACGCAGCCACCGAGTGAGACAGCGCCAGCGGGACGATCTTGTCCCCTCTGCATCCCGCTGTGGGCGGGGCTATTACACAGACTCCACTCATGAACTAGACACTCGTTGTGAATTCCTTTATTCTTAGCAATTTGGCGGGAAAAGAAGAAACAATTTTGGAGTTCAAACTCCACTTTCCCATTTCTTTCATTTTTCAGCTACAAACTGAAGCAATTTTACGCATAGGAAGCATCGTTATTGCTAAAACCAACCAATGCAGGGTAAGGCTTGACGCTTTGTTTAATGTCCTATAACCTGACTGAAAAATAAAGGTCAGATCAAGATCTCTGAGAACAGATAACCCAACCGGAAGCCTTGCAGGCGCGAGATTCGTACAAAAGGAATGTGTCTCGGCACAGGGGCGGGCGGTCAGTACCTCCACATTCCGTTTAACGAAGGTTTTTGTCACCCTGAGCATGTGAGTGTACTCGATCAGCTCCAGCAAGTTTTTCCTCAGCTTCTCCTTGTTCTTGGTGACTTCTCTCAGCTCAACCTCCAGCTTCTGCAGCTGCTCCTAAGACAAGAGGGCAGTTGGTTACTTAAGAGGACAGGTCTGCTCTGAGTCTGGCCACCCCCATTTCCTGACAGCACGTTACTGTCCAGGGAGGGCTTACGAGCCCGAATCCGACAGAGATGTTCAAGGTCCGCTGTTCATGGTCTCCCATGGACTCGGGGAACTCCCACACAGCTCATGCTGCCCACAACAGATGTTCTGGAAGTTGAGTCGAGGCACCGCAGGTGGCCCTGGCCCAACCCCGCTCCCCCACTGTTCTGGGCTTCCCTCCGTCCACTTCTCCACTGTCGCACAGCAAAGAGTCTTCCTCTTTCGAGGCTACATTGCCTTTTATTTGCAACGCGGAAAATACTTGGGTGATCTTTGCTAAGCATATACACCCGAGCCTCTAGCTTAAGAGTCTGCTTACAGTTGCGCGCACACTATTAACTGGGCTGAAGAATGCTTGAGGTCAAGTCTTCCTTAATAAGCAGTTGGACAGCGAGCGTCTTTAACGATACTAAAGTACAACACAGCAGCGACGGAGGTGTGTCAAACGCACCACTGACTCCACGAAAACCTGTATGCAGGCAAGTCCCCTGACACTTCACGTGCGCTCCACCTCATAAAAGCCACACACGCCCAGTCACCCCTGAAGTCGTCATTACATCACCACCAACCCGAACAGGCCAAACCAGATGGCCGCGTTCTGCCCATCGGATGCCACAACTCCTTCTGGAGTCCACTCACACGGTAAATGTTAAGTGACTTCCTCCCCAATAAACCCCCAGAGCGGCCGGCCACGGAACGGTGCTGGCTACACACCGCAGGCTGCGTCAGTGGTCAGGAGCGCCGTCTATTTCCCAGGGCAGTGCACGAGCCAAGGATCAGACCCAAACCTCAGCGGATCACTCGCAGGGGCGGTAACGAGCAAGACAAGCCGGGGTCCTCACAGCAGGGACGCCGTATCCCCAACACACCAGATGCTGAAATTGGGGACAAGGAACTGCGTTTGCTGCCCACCGACAACACCCTATGGCCTTCCCACTAGCTTTTCAGCATCAGAGCGGAGGCCAGTGGGCCTGGGAGAATGCGAAAGGCACTGGCCTGCAGCCTCCCTTACTTGCACCAGGAGAGGCATATGCTAAGGCATGGATAAGTCCAGAAAGAATGATCAGAAATACACATGACAAAGCACCAGATTTCCCAAACTGATATTCGTTAGCCTCAGTTCACCACCACCTGGAAAGGGAACATTCATCTTACATCTCAGATAATCTGTTACTGAAGGCTAACGATCGCATTGTTCTTCAACTGTTATTGTGGGGCTTTGAGAAGAAAACCCGACAAGCCCTAGACAACATGAAGTCAGTCAACAAGCAGCATCTGAGCTCAGGGACAGCTTTGACGGCTTCGTCAGAAACAAGTTACCTGCATCTCCAGGACTTGTTTCAGAGGTGGTGCAGGAGGACTGGTCTCTCCCTCAGGAAGGGGAATGTCGGCTCTATTAATTTCCTGCACCAAATACGCTGTGGGAATCAAAGGTAAACCAATTAGATGCAAAAACTCACTCTAGGACATCTCCGTCGGAACATCTTCCATCCCAACCATGCCTAAAAATTAATGTCTGAATGCACAAAAGTCTTGCTTGTTCCAAGCGACTTAGAAAAAGCCTTATGCAACCTCGTTTCCAAAGATCTGCAAAGTAGCCGCAACTAAAGAGAGAGGCCAGCATGCAGTGACCATATAAACAACAACCTGATGAGCGCTTTCTGCAATTCCCCGAGTGTGCTGTGTTTCTGAAACACTCATGACCGAACTGTGGAGTCACAGGTGTCTCCGCACCTGTAGGTGAATCAGGTAAAGGACACACTTGCAAATGCAGGAATAAGCGAAGGACAGACCATCTCCACCAGAGACGGCAGCGTGACTTCCTTGCAGATGCCCTTATGAGGAAGGACAAGTACTACCTCTATCAGCCCATGGAGCCGAGAGATGAGGGCAGAGAGCCAGGCTCTCCTGAGCGGTCCCAGTCAGCCAGGCTGTTCGGACTTGCAACAACCAGATCTCACGTCCTAGACCAGGTTCAGAAAACTGGTAACGAGCCAGGCCAAATGAACTCCATTTCTTTCATTTACATTTTCAATGCCATGAAGCACCCTTGTCCTTAGGATGAAACTCACAACGAATGGTAAACTCATTACTAGATACCACATTCTGGAGAAGTGTTCCCAGTTATTTTATTAAGAAAGAGAAAAGTGAGGATGTCTTAGCAACAGGATAGCAAAGGAAGCACGGTGCTAAAGAGGTTTCTGGAAATGGGATAAAATCGTTTCACCAATGAAACCTCATTTACTTGGGAGTTGTTTTTTTTTTTTTAAGTCTGTATGTCTTTTGAAACAGTCTAAGCTACAGGAAGTCCTGTACCTGTCTAAAGTGTTGTCACTGAATTTAAAAACCTCATTCCTGATACATGACATGCTCAATGACTCACTACGTTACAAAGACAGGAATATGATGTCACTCTATTACACGTCGTCCACACTAGTAACTGGGACTTCAAACAATATGCGAAGGAACAGATGATTAAAAGGGTTCTTTTGTCTTAAAAATCTCTGGGGCACCTGGGTGGCTCAGTGGGTTAATGCCTCTGCCTTCAGCTCAGGTCATGATCTCAGGGTCCTGGGATCAAGCCCCACATCGGGCTCTCTGCTCAGCGGGGAGCCTGCTTCCCCCTCTCTCTGCCTGCCTCTCTGCCTACTTGTGATCTCTGTCTGTCAAATAAATAAATAAAATCTTAAAAAAAAAATCTCCAACTAAAAATGTAAAATCCACAATAAATCTTAGCTAATAGAAATCATTCCCAAAGTTCTATTCTGGCCCCCCCTTGACTCTCTCATGCCCATGTTTCTCCGTTCATCCTAAATTTTGTACTTCAGTCAGTCCTCTGAGATCCACCCCCCTCTCCCCTATTTTGGTCAGAACTTCCGGGCTTCAACTGATAATGGTGACTATCCCAAGCTAAAGAAGTTGAAGATTTTACAGATAAAGGAAGTAGCCTAGAGCTACTGAGTTTTGAAGGTAAACAAGTGATCTGAGAACAAAGCCAATCTATCTTCCATTTCCTACCTTCCTCTTCTTAGAGATAATCCGAAGTAACATATTAACAAGTACATACTGTGTTTAAATCACGATAAACTACAAGGGATTAGTTAAGTAAATTATAGCACTTTTATTTCATGAAATACTAGGCAGCCATTAAAAATGACCCCAGGTGCACCTGTTTATTGACGTGAGACAATGTTGCAGGAAATACCAAAGTGAGAAACAGAGCCGACAACGGAATAACATGGTTGCTATGTAGGGGAATCCTTACTTTTATAGAGGACTAGGAAAAAATAAGGAATGGTGAGTTCTTTTTTTTCTCTTTTCTAATTTTTCTAAGGCAAACAAGGTTTGCTTATATAAAAATCTGTCACTAAATTAAACTTATCCCCCCACAAACTAGCAAAACAAAACAAAATAAAACAAAACTTACCTAATATGCGTTCTAGTTCTTCACACCTCTTCACCTCACCGACGAATTTTCTTTGGAAGGAACTTACATTCTGGTTGAGCTGAGAAAAGGGTGAAAAATTCATTTTTGAAATTTCTGAAATTTAAATGTAAACATGATTTAAAAAATAAAAATATTATTGGCAAGGGTTTAGGGAAAGCACACCCTCACACACTACCGGATGGGGAAAAAAACTGACAAAACTCTTCTGGAGAGCAACGTGGCAGCTGTTATCAAAAAAGCCTGAAAAATATCCTTTGGCCCAGAACTAACCCAGGAAGAAACTTAACCTAGGGAAAAAACTGGATACAGACAAAAACCTACCCAGAAAAACATCAACCTCGGGGACAGAGGAAAAAGTGATCGACAGTGGGAAACCGGTTTAAGGACAGACAGTCTCCATCCATACTACAGAAGAAATTCCTGACCCACTCAACACCACTGTGACTCTGAGAAACACCATTCAAGCGTGTCTTTCAAGAAGATACAAAAGGCCGCATACTGTGTGATTCCATTACCATGAAATGCCCAGAAAAGGAGAATCTAGGGGCAGGAAGTAGCGACTGCCTGGGGCTGGAGGCAGGTAAGGGGATGAACCGGAAGGGTAAGGGATCTTACTAGGGGATATGATGTTCTAATACTGCACTGTGGGGATGGACGCGTCACTCAGTAAGTTTAATAAAAAAATCAATAAACTGTACACTTGAAATGGGTGCATTTTATGATACAGATCAATGAAGTTGTATAAAAATTACGGTTCAGTCATTTAGCTGATTATGTCCTTAGTAAAAATTATGTTTTAAATGACTAAGGTACTGGATTCTATTAAGAAGTTGTCATTAAGGGGCACCTGGGTGGCTCAGTGGGTTAAAGCCTCTGCCTTCGGCTCAGGTCATGGTCCCAGGGTCTTGGGATCAAGCCCCGTATAGGGCTCTCTGCTCAGCGGGGAGCCTGCTTCCTCCTCTCTCTCTCTGTCTGCCTCTCTGCCTACTTGTGATCTTTGTCTGTCAAATAAATAAATAAAATCTTAAAAAAAAAAAAAAAGTTGTCATTAAAAATTTTAGGTATGACAATGATATTGTGGTTATGATTTTTGAGCATCCTTCTTTTTAGAGATACTTGTTGAAATATTTATGGACACAATTGGATATTTGGGATTTGTTTCAGAATCATCTTGTCCGAGAGAGGAGAGGGACAGATTTTGTCTGGAGGTAGAAGGCTGTAATGAGGGGCCACGAATTTATATTATGGGTACACGGGAGTTCACTGTTCCCATATACTCCTCTCTCTACTTAACTTCTAATACAAAGCTTAAAACAATAAAAAAAATTATAAAAGAACATTTAATGAGGAAATGAGTTAAGATTTCTGTCTGGGGGCACCTGGGTGGCTCAGTGGGTTAAAGCCTCTGCCTTAGGCTCAGGTCATGATCCCAGGGTCCTGGGATCAAGCCCCGCATCGGGCTCTCTGCTCAGCAGGGAGCCTGCTTCCTCCTCTCTCTCTGCCTGCCTCTCTGCCTACTTGTAATCTCTGTCTGTCAAATAAATAAAATAAAATCTTTAAAAAAAAAAAAAGATTTCTCTCTGGAAAAAATTAAAGATACTTTCAGTGTCGTTCCAATTATATGAAAATACACATATATGTACATTTTGAAACATTATTAGGAAAAAAATGTTAGAACAATATTAACCAAGAAATTAGAGCCTTTATTTCTAGGTAAGGGATCCTGGAAGTTTTAATCTTATTCTTCTATTTTACAGTTTCTCCACAATGGACATATATTATTTTATAACAAAAAAAGATTACAGTAATTACTTGTGTTGAAAGGCATTTAAGGCAAGAATGTTATCTTTCCTCCAGCCCATCAACCGTCCCGGGCGCTCTCAGAAACCGCGATTAGGATAGGTGGCTTTGCATGAAACCGCTGGGTCAGAAGCATCCACCCCAAGGGCTCATTTCTTGTTCAGTTTTTCTAACATTTTTAAAAGGATTAACCAGGAAGAAGACAAAAATTCAAATTTCACTTTTGTTTGTCACATTTGCATTCATTTCTGAGAGCAAACTAATCTCAAGTAATCACTTTCAAGTTCTCAATGAGTCAGGCACGATGCACAGAACTAAGAACAAGAAGGAAGGGAGGCGGCACCAGCAGTGCACAAACCACACTCCTGCCCGTTGCAGGGTCCGTTCAACACTCAGCATTGCTGAGCGCTCCGTGGACAGGAGGGTTCTCCCTGCGGCAGGGGCTTTATGAAGACGCCCATTTCGGCGGCCGGGATACAAACGTACTTGGGTTGACCCTAGCCACCATCACTGCCTCACAGCTATTAGCTGCTTTTTTCTGTTATGTGGTTTCTTTTTACAAAGTTTTGTTTCTGTTTTCTATCTCTGGAGGCTATGTCACCCTATTTCTAGGCTGATGATAGGAAAACACAGTCGTAGTGCCCCTTGGCCCCAGTTTCAGGCACCCGCGGTCAGGAAGTAGACAAGCCGTGTCTTCTGGCACGGCCCCAGGTCAAACAGTGCCTACGTCATCCTCACTTCATCCCACATCAACCAGAGAGGAAGGGTGAGTAGAGGACAATATGATACATTGAGACTAGGAACCCACATATACCCTCCCAAACACATTCATGTAATTTTTATTAGAGTATCTCGTTATAGTTGTTGCATTGTTGTTCATCTCTTAATGTGCCTAACTTGTCGATGACACGCTACCACAGGGGCACTCATACAGGAAAGCCTGTCATACCTACAGGGTTCAGTACTCTCCAGGGCACCCAGCATCCACTGAGGGTCTCAGAACGCATACCAAAGATACGGGGCGACCACACTGCATTTTATTGCAAACTCATTTTAACACTAACCTTGAACCAAGAAAAGCCAGCAGAGGCTCCGTGGTGCTGGTTTTACTGATACCCAAACCAGCCATCCGATCCCACTACAGCCGCCGAAGGGCGAACGGTGAAATTGTTCTTAGACTGCAGACCATCTCAACAGTGAGATGAACCTGCCCTTCTCTGAGCCCCACCGGTTAGGTTAGCTGAATGACCTTCTCTTCCATGTCTTCTCCTTGGCTGTCACTACAGAAACCCTGGGTCTGCCTGCTTTCCCTCAGGAGGAGTACTAAAAGGGAAAAATCACCCAGCGTATGCAAGCCAGGAAAGACTAATGTTAGTAAGCCCAGCCGGTGAATGCAAAGTCAGTGAGAACTCCAGAAAAAAGTGTTGGGTGCTGCGAAGCTTTCCGCACTAGCACACTGGCTGCTTGAGTGTCAACCCACACACACACACACACACACACACACACACACACACACACGGACAGGCACAGCTGAGATCTTTATCTGCACTTTCTTTTTCTTTCACTGGTTTTCAGCCTAGAAGGATCCCAAGTATTCTCCGCTACCTCCTGTAATGGCAGTCAGGGAAACGGGAATGTGGTCATCAGGGTCTTTGTTCAAACCTCCACAGTTTAAGCTTAAGTCTCTCGGCTTGAACACTAACAGGATGGATCAAATCCACCAGTTACAAAGAAGGGAGGCTGTTTCTCTCCTGCTTCCTGAATCTTTCGGGTGCCCCCCACAGCTGATCACAGCACCTACCAGGGAACTGGGACCAGGAACTGAAGCCCAAGTGACTCCAGGAAACAGGAAGGGAGCTGGGCCTTCTCTGCAGCCTTGGCGTCCCTCAGGAGTTACTCCCTGACCCTGCAATCCCTTTGGAGTCAACCCAAGGGTCACTGATATCAGATCTTAGGGAGGGGTGTTCCCTTTTGAAATTAAGGGCCCCTCAGAGAGATGAAGGGAAATAACCAGGAGATCAAAGTTGGGGCCCAGGAGGAAATAAAATGTTCCCTTGAAGTGACTTTCAGTTCAGTCACTCACTATCAGATCCTGCTTAATACTCCCCTCTCCCCTTCTACACTTTGTTCTCTCCCTTTACTGCACTTCACAATTTCAGAGCGTGTGTGTCTGTCTCCTTCCAGCTGTAAGCAGCAAGAACCTAAGGACCTTGTCCACCCAGCTTACCCACTGAGGCGCCAGCACTAAAAACACGATCTGGAACAGAGTAGGCGCTCAATAAAGGCTTGTTCCTTCATTCAACAAACGCCTGCTACTGCCCACAAACGCCAGGGACCAGGCTAAGTCTTGGGGAATCAGGAGTGAGCAAGTCAGAAGGGGCCCCTTGCCCTGGGGGCTGACACCCCATGGTGTGAACAAATAATAAACAAGTATGCAGATACATAAACAAGTGTTTAACCTTACTTGTTGGGAAGACCGTTCCCTTTCCTTACCAGGCAGTGGTATGCACCTCATACATCAGTGAACAAAACCGACGAAAACCCCTTCCCCTCAAGGCGCTTACACCCAGCTCATTCCCACTTCAGGTTCTGGGCTCCTTCTGTTCCCTCCATCCGGGACCCTGTCCCCCCCCCCCCCCAAGATCTTCCAGGGCCACCTCTTTCCCATTCAGGCCTCATCGGAGCTCAAACGTCACCTCCTCAGGAGGGCCTTCCTTGACCACCCCGACTCGAGTCACCATCCCATCACCCCGCTTCGTTACCCTCACAGCAAACATTTTGTTTACGCATTTACGTGCTTGGTATTTGTCCCCGCCACCCCTTCCAAAGGGTCTCCAAATGGGCCTCATCAGACTCGTTCTCCCCACCGCTAGCCCAATGCCCCGCATGGAGCCGGCGCTCCGGAGCATCTGATGGCACTCCCCTAAGTTGATGAAGACTACACAGAGCGTTCCTAACTAACCCGGCCAAAGCCGCCGCCGACCAGACGCCCGGCGAACCGGGGCTCGGGCCCCGCTCTGCGGAAGCTCTGGCCGGTAAGCCGGGCCCCAGTTTCCCTGCCTGCGAAATGGGGACAGCGGCGCGCCCCAGCCCAGGAGCCCGCGGAAGGGAGGCCCGAGCGAAACACGGGATGCGGCGCTGGGCGGGCAGGTGCGGCCCGCGTCTCCCGGGCGACACTCACGTCTCGGAACTGGACCAGGCCCTTCTCGCCCAAGGCGCTGAGGCACTCGTAGGCCGTGCCGGACTGCAGGAACAGCTGCGCCAGGCACATGGTCTCGCTCCGGAATAGGGACCCCATGGCGGGCCAGCCCGCGCCCCAGCGGGGCCGGACGGATGGCGGCGGCTCCGGGCCGCTCGGGTCCGCGCGGTCAGCCTGGGAGGCCGGGGCCTCGGGCTCCTCTTGCGGCCTGGCCGCCGCCGCGCACCATGGGGAGGGGTCCGGGCTGCAGCGGCCGGCCCCGGTCCTGCCACCGCGGGCCCCCTCCAGCCGCTGCCGCCACAGCGCGCGCGAGACCCCGCCCCCCCGCTACAGCCGGTTCCGGTTCCGCCCCCCGCGTGTGCCCGCCCGCCCCGCGCCGGCCGACCAATGGGCGCCCAGAGTTGCGGCCGGCCGCAGCGCCTGCGCCGGCGAGGCCAACCGGCACACACCCGGCGGACGACGGCTGAGGCTCCCGGAGGGAGACAGCCGCTCGCTCGGCTCTTTAGACATTTTGGAAAATGAATTTTATTGAGGTTGTGCCATAAAGTTCACCCGATTAGGGTACACAATTCTGTGATTTTTAGTAAAGGTACGGAGTGGTTGTGCGGCCGACATAACGATCCACTTTTAGAAAATGTCCGTGAACCCGAAAACGATTCCACCTGCTCAGCGCCGTCAGTCCCCAGCTCCCCGCAACCACGAACAACTTCGTCCCGTAGATCTGCCTATCAGGACGTTTCACACCGACAGCATGACACCGCATCATGCGTTTGCGGCTGACTCCTGCCGCCGGCCCTTCTCTCGGGTCCTGCCCGGTGCAGACCAGACGGGCACTGTCGCCCCGCTGGCCACGTCTGCCTCTGCAGATCCTCCGCCCAGCAGCTACCGTCATCTCCGACGCAGGACGAAAATCTCACGTAGCCCACTTTAAATCCTCTGGTTTCTCCCACTGCTTTCTCAATAAAATCCAAACTTCTTACCACGGCCCGCAGGACCCCACAGGACCTGACCCCCTTCTTCCCCCAAGCCCTCAACATCTCCATCGCCTGCTTTGGACTCCTTTGCTCCAGCCACACCTGCCTACTTTATCTTCCCTGGCCCGTGCGCTTGAACTTGGCCATTCCTCCCTCTGCCCAGTACACCCCTCTCCTAGACCTTCTCAAAGCTGGCTCCTTTTGTCCTCAGCTCCAATGTGCCCGCCTCTAAGGCTGTCCCAGACCCCTAGCTAAAGTAATCTCCCATCCCACCCGTTTTATTTTCATCCAACCTACCGATGACTGAAATTATCTTGTCTGTATTTATTGCCCATTTCCCCCCACTAGAATGTAAGCTCCACTAAACAAACGACATTGACTTGGTTATCGCCAGGGCCTGGCATGCAGAAGCCACTCAATAAATATTTCTCAAATGCATACATGAATGTATAAACTTAGAAAAGTTAAAACCATATGGCAGGTCCCTCAGATCCCATTCTTCTGCCAAAGTGAGCTTTTCCCCTCTTAACTGCAAAAGGCATCCTAACAAAGCCCACCAAATCAGGCTCAATTACCTGTCACTTGAAATTTTCAAACTAATTTTCCAGAGCTAGTTATATTAACTGTCATAGACAAACTTTCTGAATCACTACAATTAATTGACCAGTGGATATTTCCTTTTCTTTAACAAAAGACAATTTCTTTCACTCTTTCTACAGGGTGTAAACACTTCCACCACAGAGATCCAGATCAAAGAAAAAGAGAAGCAGAAGGGGAGGAATCGGTATTTCTCAGTGCAGTACACAGAGTGGTACTTGAGGGAGAAAACTTCTTTATGTCATTAGTTACATGTTTAATAGGAATCAGTAAAAAACAGAACTAGGCTTACAGATTTACACTGGAAAATGCAACAACATATCTGATGTGTCTGGGAAGTCAGAAGGCACCACGAATTCCATCAGAGTGCAAAAGGGAAGACAATCACATCTCAAAATTAGGTTTACTGACCCTGTACAAAGTCCATCTGATACATGACTAAAATTTGTCTAGTCCACAAAGAAGATGCAGAGATTTGCCATGTGGCCCTGTGGGCTGTGGTTGAAGACATCCATCCCCCCCACCCTCACCCTACATCATGCTGTCTGTCCCCTCGTAGGGAGCCACAGGAGGAATTTCTCTCAAGCATCAACTAGGAAAAACTATCCTTCCCTGAAAACCAGCTTATTTTACATGGGTCAATGAATCCTGTACCTGATCATACTTGTGCTGACCTCTCCTCCTGGTTTTGTTTTACTCTCCTCCCAATATTACTTTCCCTCCTTCAGCCTCCACATCTTCCCTCCTCAATTTATTTGTGTATATTTACAAAATAATACATACATTTTATGGTATATACATTTTTAAGGCTTTATGAATTTTTAATTCTTTCTTTGAAATAGAGGAAATTAACCAACAAATTCATTGGAAATATATAAGAATTTGAAGAAAATACTTTTTTTAAAAGATTTTATTTATTTATTTGACAGAGATCACAAGTAGACAGAGAGGCAGGCAGAGAGAGAGGGGGAAGCAGGCTCCCTGCTGAGCAGAGAGCCCAATGTGGGGCTCGATCCCAGGACCCTGGGATCATGACCTGAGCTGAAGGCAGAGGCTCAACCCACTGAGCCACTCAGGTGCCCCGAAAAAAATACTTTCTAAAGTAAGAAGAACACGTGGACCAAAACTCCCGTGACTGTGGGAACTTGTGATATACACAAAAGCGTCTGATAACATTTATTTACACAGTTGACCCTCTTATGCATTTTGCTTAGTCTGGTCCAGCAATGAGAGTATCTGCTCTGCATCGCTCCGCACACCTGGATAGTTACGTATGTGAATTAAATCCGCAGTGCACTTAACTTTTTAAAAAATCTCAAAAATAAAGCACTGCGGGGTGCCTGGGTGGCTCAGTGGGTTAAAGCCTCTGCCTTCGGCTCAGGTCATGTTCCCAGGGTCCTGGGATCAAGTCCCACATCGGGCTTTCTGTAGAGGGAGGCTGCTTCCTCCACTCTTTCTCTCTGCCTGCCTCTCTGCCTACTTGTGATCTCTATCTGTCAAACAAATAATAAAATCTTTTAAAAAATAAATAAATAAAGCACTGCATTTATTACAACTTTACAAAGGCACAGAGGAGTACGACAAGTCACTGAAGCAAAAGTCTGTGGTCTGTAAGAAGTCAGGTGGTAGTTGCATTTCAAGCTTTGCATGTTCTGGTCCAGGGGTTACTGAGGAACGCAGCTAATACGAAGAAGGATAACAAGAGTAAGCCCTTGGCTACGCACTGAGAATAAGGTTCCCCTGCAAGAAAATGAACCAAATGAAGCACAATTCTTATTTCTTAACTTTTTTGGGGAATTACTTAGTAGAAATAAACCAAAACAGTAATAGTGATCATTTCTAAGTGGAAACCTTATCAGTAAATTGTTTAAAACTCTATGTGTTTTTTTAAGTTTTCTGTGACACATACATATTTTTTAAAAATATTTTAATTGGCAAAACATTAGTGATAACCCTTCCAGAAACCTGCTTTACCCTACCTTGATAATAACGAGTCACTGGATACAGAAGTTGCGGCCAACACACCTCATTTCTGTTACAGTCATACTCTGTAAAATTGATCTGGAATCTAGGAAACATTTTAGAAGATTACAATAGGCACAAAAAAAGCACACTTCTGATGAAATATATCAAAACTTGAATAAAGAAAGAAACTTCTTGTTTTCAAGTATATATTTTTCTGCTTCCTAATAATGTCAGCTAGGTCGTGAACTGGATTACCTTGTCAGTGGCCGGGGTAACTGGGCAGGTATCTTAATGAACTGAACAGAGGCACTGACAGGGAAAAGGTCGGCCTTATCCTCACAGGTAAGCCCACACTGGAACTGCCAGTTCACTGTAGAGAGCCTGGAAGGAAAAGATCACGCAGGTAACACACCCACCACTCGCTTCTGATCTGTTAAGAGTATCAGGGAACCGATACTCTTAACAATATAAATTGGGATTCTCCTAAAGAAGGTTCAAATTCGGGCGCCTGGGTGGCTCATTTGGTTAAGCAACTGTCTTCAGCTCAGATCACAGTCCCGGAGTCCTGGGATCGAGTCCCGCATCGGGCTCCCAGCTCCATGGGAAGTCTGCTTCTCCCTCTGACCTTCTCGCCTCTCATGCTCTCTCTCAAATAAATAAAATCTTTTTTTTTTTAGATTTTATTTATTTATTTGACAGACAGAGATCACAAGTAGGCAGAGAAGCAGGCAGAGAGAGAGAGAGAAGCAGGCTTCCTGCTGAGCAGAGAGCCCAATGCGGGGCTCGATCCCAGGACCCTGGGATCATGACCTCAGCTGAAGGCAGAGGCTTTAACCCACTGAGCCACCCAGGTGCCCCAATAAATAAAATCTTTAAAAAAAAAAAGAAGAAGAAGGTTCAAATTCTACTAGTGCTTTTCCCCCCGTTGGACAATGTAAACGTTCCAACATATGCGCAATGAAAGAGATCAGTGCAGCGAACCACCCAGCTACAATAATAAACAATGTAATACAAACAACGACAGCAGCTAGCCATCTTGGAGAGGTTTCCAGGTGCTGGGAGGAGTACGAAGGTGTTTTCTACACACCACGTACACGCACAGCACATCAGTCTCAGAAGACTGCTACCAGCTGTGTTTGGTGGTTAACATCTGTCGGTTCTGCCCATCCAGCATCCCATCCCCTTCCTTCTGGCGGCTGCCCCCCAGCTTCCCCTTGGGGAGACTCCCTCCCCACAGTATTCCCTACTCAGTATGCAAGGATTTTTATATTCCCGGATCTCCCCTTTGTGCCCCCTGAGAGCGGGCACAGAATCCCTTACACACAGCTTTATAAACACCTGGGAGAACAAGTTACCATTACACACGCAGAGGATAACATGTTTCATTTATACACATAATCACGTCCCGAATAATTGCAATTCATAAATAAACACTCTGACTGCAGGTTAGCATTTCCCAGCTCTGGAGCACCTGCCACTTTACTGACTTATCCGAGATGCGATCACACCTTGTCTCTACGCCAACGATCTCATGCTGAGTCATTCCTTCCACTGCGCCGGCATCTGAGACGAGGATGCGGATGTGCAGCCGGGCGGGAACACCGGCACAGAGGCCGCGCACGCTGACAGGCCGGGCTGCACCTGGGTCGGCAGCATCTGCGCCTGGAGCAAAATATCAAGTTGTGCATTTTGGAAAGAATAACCATGGTTTTTGTACAGTGCCATGATACGGAGGCAAAATTGGGAAATGTTATGGGATAGGAATCACTTTTACGCATCTCTGATCTCTAACAGGCTCTTGGTATCGTCACTCTGTGACCATGCAAGCCCTCGTGTTCAAAACGTTTCCTCGTCTGTTAAGTCAGTCACCGGTACTTTTAAAATCCCAGGCCCACGTGATAAAAGCAGACATCCGGTCCAGGTCCCAAGGGCAAGCTCCCCAGAGCTTTAGCAGAAATACCATCCAGTTGCAGTAGAACACCATGAGACTGAGTCCCGGCTGACACTGTTCTTGTACAAGGCATCTGAGACATTTACAATCCGTGCGAACAACTCCAGTTAGTAGGGATTAAAGAATGAAGAAGCAATTTCCTATTGTGTTGCCATAGAGTAACACAATGAAGAGAATGAAACCGACTAAGAAGTTAGTAACTACGAGAGGAGGGTAGCAAATCATGAGGGGACACTGGGGGGGACTTGAAAGTCATGACAATTTATGACTTCCAAATTCCTCCTCCTCGATGTGTATGTTCAACATCTTTTTTTTTTTTTTAAGATTTATTTATTTATTTATTTATTTATTTGACAGGTCACAAGCAGGCAGAGAGGCAGGCAGAGATAGAGGGGGAAACAGGCTCCCTGCTGAGCGGAGAGCCCGATGTGGGGCTCGATCCCAGGACCCTGGGATCACGACCTGAGCTGAAGGCAGAGGCTTAACCCACTGAGCCACCCAGGTGCCCCTCGCCATCTCTTCTGTTTATCAACGAGAATCAGGGTTGATTTTAGCTTAGACAACCATAGAAGCCAACTGCTTTCACCCTGAAGGCAGCGAAATGTCACCACCTCAGTCCTTCTTATGTAACCTTGGGGCTACTCTATCTCAAAACCTCCCAGTCTTTCTACTTCTCAGGTGCTTTACCAACTCCTTCCCTCCATCCCTCGGGCATGTCACAGCCCACCCAGCTGGTCTCAGCGGCAAACCCCAGGGGCTGACAAGCCCCAACCTCTGGATTCTGTTTCTAAATGAGGTTCTAACCCTGGGCCTAGTGACTCAAGCACAGGGCACGGAAGGATCGGTGAGTCACAGCCTGTGCACCGCATGGCCCCCAGGACCCGTCCCAAAGTCAGAGAGTGATTTGGGGCACTTCTGGCCCACAGACATATTACATGATCCCTCGCTGGCACAAAGCGGGCAGGGGACCCGGGATCCTAATGATCCAAATGAAATCACAAGGGGTGAGGAGAGCGCAGGCACGAGTCTGGATGGGCCACTGTGTGAATTCCAGGCTGCTGAGCGGAAGCGACCTAAGGGGGCACAGAGAACAGGAGCCAAAAAGCTGCTTACCACCATCCAGGCCAAGGGGAGGGACACAGCAGAATCCTCAGTGACAGGAGGGGACTTAGGACAGCAGATGATGCACAGCCAATTTCCTCTTTCTGGCCCCAAAAGGCAATGCCATTAATTAGAGCACTGGAAGAAGCCTTCCTTCTGCGGACATTTCCATATTCAAGACTCCCCTGACTTGCCCACCGGGGAGCCAGCAAAGAGGCTGGAAGCCTGGGTCTGGGGTCCAGCTCCGCCATGACCAGCTGAGCCCTCCAGTTTCTGCCCTGACGAGCTGAGTGAGCGGCAGCTCAGGGGCGGCCGTTTTAGATCGGAAGGTGAAGGTGAACCCCGCTACTGCCTGGGCAACACGCACTCTGCGTCCTGGCGCTCTGTCCTCAGCGGGCCAGACGCTGCAAATTCCTTTGCCCAAAGGCACAGGACTGCAGCCTTTCCACGGAGCCTGGGTGGGACCCGCTCTCTTACCCACTACGCCTTCACTTCTTTCCGCTGTAATGGCTGTCCTGCGAGACATTTCACACCAAACAGTCCACCCAGTTAAATGTATGATTCAGTGGTTTCCGGTATATTCACAGAGTTCTGTGGCCATCACCAAATTCCATTTTTATTGCCCCAGAAAGAAACCCTGTATCCATTAGCAGTCCCTCCTCACTCGCTCCCATCTGCGCCAGCCTCCTGCGACCAGCTGCTCTCTGTGGCGGCAGATCGGCCCATTCTGGGCATCTCGTACACATGGCACCGAAACGTTCGGGGTCACGTCTGTCTGGCTTCTTTCACTCAGCATCATCATTTCAATCACCTTGTTTTAAATTAGCAACATTGCTCGTATAAACTGTAACGTCTGCTCTCAACTGCCCATATTCCTGGCAATCGAAAATAGCAATGCAAACTGAAACGGACTGAAAATCTTCAATTAGACTTTCTTTTACGAAGGCCGTTAGCTCATAAAACAACGGGGCACTGAACTTCATGCAGATTTCCTCTTAATAGCGGGGGTGGGGGGGTGCAACTGGGTGGCTCAGTCGTTAAGCATCTACCTTCAGCTCAGGTCATGATCTTGGGGTCCTAGGATCGAGCCCTGCATCGAGCTCCCTACTCAGCAGGAAGCTTGCTTCTCCCTCTCCCACTCCCCCTGCTGTGTTCCTGCTCTTGCTGTGTCTCTCTCTGTCAAATAAACAAATGAAATATTAAAAAAAAAAAAAAAAGTCCTCATGGATAAGAGGTAAAGAATGTGAAAAGCCTGACACCCAGACAGCTAACCTCTAAACAGACCTCAGCCAAGCTGCAGCGCAGGCAGAAGACTCATCCCACGGGCTCCCCCGCACAGCCCACATGACGCACTCCTAGCGACAAGCTACCCACCACACATCTCTGCAGCTCTGACTTACGGATTATTTCCAGCCAGCCGTCACTAGGATCGTTGTAATCAGAGTTGCCTCTCATTGCAACATGAGTTGCTCGTACTAACGAGTCAAGTAGTTCAGCAGCATTCTCCCTGCAAGAGAGGAAGACATTTCTCAGCGCACGGCCAGTGGGGCTCATCCTGAGGTCCTTTCCAGGGAGTGTCCAGGTTGTGCTTGCTGGGGGCCCAAATAAAAACTTGCCAGAGGAAGTGGCATTAAAAGCTTGGCTGGGCGTCTGCATTCTCTCCGATGGCCTGCCCAGGAGGGACCTAAGCCACTAGGGGAAGACATGCAGAAGCAATCGTTTACTCTGGGTTTTAAATGTTGATGACTCATGTTGCTATCACGTAGTTTACAGACTCCGCTGAGTATCATAAAACTTGGGAGGTACGTAGAGATCACGTACCAAGTTACCAGGCTAAATTTACAGGCCAGAGGGATCCGAGAGCAAAAGGAACCTAAATATTTAGCTAGAACTTTGAGCCATAAGATTAAGTAAAGATTAACAACTGGAACTTAGCGGGGCCGCCAGGGTGGCTCAGTTGGTTAAGCACCTGAGTCTTGATTTTGGCTCAGGTCATGATCTCAGAGTTGTGGGATCGAGCCCTCCATTGTGCCCCATGCTAGGCATGGAGTCTGCTTGGAATTCTCTCTCTCCTTCTCTCTTTAAAAAAAAAAAACAGAAAAAGAAGAAGAAGAAAAGGAATTGGAATTTCACATCCCTCCTTTCCAGTGATGTCACTGGCAGGTACAAACCTCATGAACAGCAAGGCAGAGACCGCCGACTCCAGCCTTATTCCCCACGGTCAAGAGCCTTGCTGGAAACTTACACCTACCGTCTACTTCCCTGCTTAGCGCCTCCCCATCTTCTCCTAGCTCCCCAGAGAACATGCTACTCAGGATATGTTGCAGATGAAATGGGGTTAGAATGCATGCATTTATAAACCCCAACGAGATACTCCTTTACACCTACTGGGACGGCAACTATCAAAACAACAGAAATTAACCAGTATTGGGAGGATGTGGACAAACTGGAACCATCTCACATTCCTGGTAGGAACATAAAATAGTGCAGCCACTGAAAGCGATGCGGTGGTTCCTCCAAAAATTAAGCATCTAATTCCTGTATGACCCAGCAATTCCTCTCCTGGGTATACACCCACGATCACTAAAGGCAGGGACTCCAATCAAAACTGGCGCGTGAACCTTCACAGCAGCACTGTTCGACAGCCAAAGGCGGAAACAACTCAGGTGCCCATGGACGGATGAGCAGATGAACGAGCTGGAGTAGAGTCAGGCAGTGGAACGGGATCGGGATTCAGCCACCAAAGGGAACAGAGCCCTGACACCTGCCACAGCGTGGATAAACCTCGAAAACTTGAAGCTGAGTGGAAGGGGCCAGACATGAAAAGCCACCTACTGTAGGATTCCATTTATGGGAAAGGTCTGGAACAGGTCAGTCCCTAGAGACAGAACACAGATCAGTGGTTGTTGGGGCTGAGGGAAGGGGAGAACGGGGGTGGATAGTTAATCGGTACAGGTTTTCTTCTGCAGAGATGGAACAAAATAAGGGCAGTGGTTGTACAACATCATGAATGCCCTCAATGTCACCGAACTATTTACTATTTTTTTTAAAGATTTTATTTTATTTATTTGAGAGAGAGAGAGATAGTATGAGAGGAGAGAGGTCAGTGGGAGAAGCAGACACCCTGCCAAACAGGGAGCCCTATGTGGGACTCGATCCCAGGACTCCAGGATCATGACCCGAGCTGAAAGCAGTTGTCCAACCAACTGAGCCACCCAGGTGCCCCTGAACTATTTACTTTAAAATGATTAATTATGGGGCACCTGGGTGGCTCAGTCATTAAACATCTGCCTTTGGCTCAGATCATCATCTCGGGATCCTAGGATCAAGCCCCGCATCGGGCTCCCTTCTCAGAGGGAAGCCTGTTTCCTCCACTCTCTCTCTCTGCCTGCCTCTCTGTCTCTCTGTGATCTCTGTCAAATAAATAAATAAATAATCTTTTAAAAAAATAAAAAATAAAATGATTATGTTTCATGAATTTTACCTCAATTAAAAAAAAAAAGAATGCATAAGCATATCCATAGACACACCTTCCAAATGCCATCCAAATAAGTACAAAGTTCCTTATACACCATGTAACAAGGCTTTTGTATTCTTTTTTTTTAAAGATTATAGTCATTAATTTAAGAGAGAGAAATCCAAGAGCATGAGCAGGGGGAGGGGCAGAGGGAGAAGCAGACTCCCGGCTGAGCAGGGAGCCTGACACAGGACTGGACTCCAGGACCCCGAGATCATGACCTGAGCAGATGGCAGATGCTTAACCGACTGAGCCACCCAGGCGCCCCAAGGCTTATGTATTCTTTCAGTGTTAATCACACATTACATCTGCTTCCTGTCCTTTTAATGCTTCGAGGAGTGCTAGGCTCCAACAATGGACAGACTTTAGCAGAGCAACTGCATAAATATGGATGAAAGGGTTCTAGTGCCAACAAAGAACTCCATTTTCCCTTTTACCAATGTTCCCATCAATTCTTTTTTTTTTTTTTTTTGGAAGTAGGGCTCCACATCCAGTATGGACCCCAATCCTGGGCTCAAACTCATCACCTTGAGATAAACAGCTGAGCTGAGATCAAGGGTCTGACGCTTAACCAACTGAGCCACCCAGGGGCCCCAAATCAGTTCTAAAGAAACTACTATCCACTCCCACTTTCCACAAGTGTGTTCTACAGACTGCAATTTTTCACATTCATGTTGTCTGCCATTTCATGGGGTGAATTCATTTTAAGCAAACCACTCAAAAGGCAGGTAGATTCACTATGATACACTCACCTAAGCCGAGTACAGTTTTCATGGATCCCGACTTCTAGAAGACATCCAGACAGTGTATCTTCTCCAAACAAAACGGGTTTGAAAGTTGCTGATGTACACAAACCCCTTCCAGCTAGAAAATAAAAAGATGATCCTGTGACTATTTTTGCTAAAACAAAAATAAGGATTTACTTCAAAGGTTTTCTTGGAAAACCGAAAACCATCAGTAGAAATAAAGTTTCCAAGTTCCTCAAGAACTGAAGTCATAGTTACTCTAATCTTTTCAAAGCTGAACAAAGGGGCCTTTCTGTATCTGAATACTTGGCCCAGGATCAATGGTCTATTCTGAACATGAAAGTTAAGGCCTTCTGGCACCAACGCAAAGATTTCCCATTGTTTGGAACAAAGTTATGGTCATATCTCCAATTACCACCATCTGGGGCTACAGGCAACAATGACAAGAGACTCTCTAGCCAGGCCCATATTTAAAGATTTTATTTATTTATTTGTTTGTTTATTTATTTGAGAGAGAGAGCGAGCGAGCATGTCGAGCGAGCATGTACTATGAGCAAGAGGAGGGCACAGAAAGAGGGAGAGAGAGCATCTCTGGCAGACCCCCAGCTGATCACGGAGCTGGACTCAGGGCTCCATCTCATGACCCTGAGATATGACCTTGAGATTATGACCTAAGCTGAAATCAAGAGTCTGTCACTCAGTCAAGCCATCTAGGCACCACAGCCAACCCCCATTTAAATCTCCCTTATGAATAACCAGTATTTCAGGAGCAAACAAAGTTAAATTTAAAACCAAACAAAAGAAAGCTGTAGAAGCCTGATCGCCTCCACCCTCCCCACGAGCTAAATAAACCAACAGGAATTTAAAGTGATTAACTACTTGATTAGATTCAAAATAAGGCCCTATTTCCAATTCTAGTTTGTCAAAGAGCAAATCAGATTACCAAACCAGATTACCCGATTGCCAAAGGTGTAAGGTCGTCTCATTATTCATCCTGTTGATATCCAGAGCTCGAACTGGCTTGCCAAGTTGGTAACCTAGACAAACGCGATAATGGGAAGTAGCTAAAGTTAACCCAACACAGCAAACCCTCATCAAATAGTATAAAAGAGGAATAACACAGCGAAAGGAAACCTACAGGCAAAGTTTGATCAGAATACACTTGAGAAAAGAAACGATCTTCACACATTTTCTTTTGTTTTTTCTTTAACAAAGATATTTGTGTGACTTTTTATTTTTTTTAAGATTTTATTTATTTGACAGAGAGAGAGAGACATCACAAGTAGGCAGAGAGGCAGGCAGAGAGAGGCAGAAGCAGGCTCCCCGCCAAGCTGAGAGCCTGATGCGGGGCTCGAAACCAGGACCCTGAGACTGATGAGGGAGCAGGAAGCTGGCTGAGGACAAAGCAAAAGCTGGCACCTTGCACCCCCTCTCCACCCACTCCCCTCGTAATATGTGTGACATTCCTCAGGCACCTCTGGCTGCCCTAAAAGGAAAACAAATAGTTAACTTGCAGAGATCACAGTCCTGAAAGACAGGAGTCTCCCTTGGTTTACCAATGTCCTAGATATTTACAACAAAGAAGCTATCTAACAATAGCACAATTTCCAGAGGCAAATAACTCAGTTCCTCAAGCCCTAAAGTTAAATTTCTTCTAAACCCAAATCTCACTAACAAGGACACTTGATAGGAGAAATGTGAAACTTTATCTCTAGATCTCCAAGATAGTGTCGAGAATCATTCCTAAGAATATGGCCCACTGATATACACCTAAAGGGTCTCACAAGAAGATTTTTACTATTAGTAATGAATAACCTTTCTCCCAACAATAGGTAGCCCCTCAAGGTCCTGGAGACCTTGCTTCCAAAATTCCTTAGAGCCTAACATCACCCCCTTTGTCCTCACCTACCCAACTCCTGTGTATATAATCAGCCACTCCTCAGGATAACTGGCGCAGCATCTCTGTCTGCCCACAGGTCCTGTCCCCATGCTCTAATAAACCATCTTTTTGCACCAAAGACGTCTTAAGAATTCTTTCTTAGCCGTGGGCTCCGAACCTCACCCCCCCGAACCTCACCTAGGTTCAAGAACTTCATGAAGACCATGACATGAGCTGAAGGCAGCAGCTTAACCCTCTGTGCCATCCAGGCACCCCTGTGTGACTTTTTAAATAAATTTAAAAAATAAAATCTGAGGGACACCTGAGTGGCTCCATCGGTTAAGCCACTGCCTTCAGCTCAGGTCATGATCCCACCTCCAGGTCCTTGCTGAGCCTGCTTCTTCCTCTACCTCTGCCTGCCGCTCCCCTGCTTGTGCTCTCTCTAACAAGTAAATAAATAAAATCTTAAAAATAAAAAAAATAATAAAATCAAATCTGAAAAGGCACAAGCAGGCAAGAGTCAGTCCCCGTCCCATCATGCCTGAGTACTCGTGGAGTGGTCACTACTGCTGGTCCCAGGCACTTTAAAAGGAGTCTTAAACCAAAGCAGCCTTTCCATGGAACTCTCCGGTAAATCAACAACCCCACCCCAGGTGATTCAGGTCCTATTCCCAGTCTCTCCTATTAGCCCGCCTTACTGCTTCTGCTTTTTTATTATGAAATGTTCACATGCACACAGAGATGAAGGGAATACCACCCAAAATCAACAACCGTGGATAATTAGCCAGCCTGGTCTTCTCGGGATTACATGCGCGCACACATAGATTATTTCTGGCAAGACCTTTTGAAAGTACGCTGTAGACTTGACACTTCCCCTGTAAGAGCTCTAACATACATCCCCCCGGAATGAAGGATATTCTTCTACATAACCATGATACCAATATTCCTCCTGAGAAAATTAATAATTTCTAATAATCAAAATGTATCATACTTCTACTTCCTCGTATGTCCCCCAAAACATGTTTTAGAGCCGTTTTTACAAACCGAGACGCAGTCAGGGTTCACGCCTAATGCGTGTTTCCCACCTTACCTCTGAGCATTCCTGAACCAGCAAGAATTGAACCCGGGTTCCTTCCCTAGCCCTGGGGCCGCTGGTCGGTCCCTGCCTATCTCTACCTCCCAGTGGCCCCGTTGCTGCCTCTCTGGCAGCCCCTGGGCTATTCCTGTCCCCAACCCACACCATCTCCTCTCCCAGGTACAATCTCCTCCACACAGCCCAGAATAGAAACTTGCCAGAGTGCAGAACTCTGACTCACTCTGCTTTTCTTCCAGCACTGAGATCAGAACCTCCACAAACTAGATACTTGACACAGGTCCTTCATGATGGGCAGTGGAGGTAGACGGTCAACATTCCACTGCTCTCAAGTTCTAGGCCTATCCGTGAGTCCAACCCACATGTATTAATCATCTTGTATTGTTCTCTGTTGTGTCTACGACCTGGTGCCGTCTTTCCAAGTAAGAGAGTTAATTCCTTGAGAATGGGGCCGTGTAGTGTACTCCTCCCAAAACCATTCCTGCCTCGGAAAGTGCTAGAGAATGAATGGCCGTCCATACACAACCTATCTCACAGACTGACTGGTTTTGGGTCGCAATCAATTAATTCTTTTTAACAAGAGTGTCAAAACTTTTCACATATTCTAATGGTGTTTCTCAGAAATCCTGTTAAATTAGATCATTAACTGAAAACCCTTAAATTTCAGAAGCCTGCTTTGAAATCCAACTATAAAGTCCAAAATTCCACATTAACAAGTACACTAAAATCTCATTTAAAACAAAGTAAAATTAGGGCGCCTGGGTGGCTCAGTGGGTTAAAGCCTCTGCCTTCCGCTCAGGTCATGATCCCAGGGTCCTGGGATCGAGCCCCAAATCGGGCTCTCTCCTCAGCAGGGACCCTGCTTCCCACTCCCCCACCTGCCTCTCTGCCTACTTGTGATCTCTCTGTCAAATGAATAAAAAAAATCTTTTAAAAAAAAGGAGTGGGGGTGCCTCAGTGGCTCAGCAGGTTAAGCCTCTGCCTTCAGCTCAGGTCATGATCTCAGGGTCCTGAGATCGAGCCCCACATCGGGCTCTCTGCTCCGTGGGGAGCCTGCTTCCCTCTCTCTCTCTGCCTGCCTCTCTGCCTACTTATGATCCCTCTCTCTGTCAATAAATAAAATCTTTTAAAAAAATTTTTAATTGAATTAATTAAATAAAGTAAAATCAGGTGATGCTATATTTGTACATAATCACAAAATGCACACCGTGACTGGAAGTTCCTAGTCCCCGTGATATATAGCTTCTTAGTTCTATAAAAGCTAATTTTACCAACGTTATTGGGCATTATCTTTTTTTCAAAAGACTAGTAGCTAAAGAGACAGAATGTTTTGCATTTACAACAAGTTGTTACTATCTAGGACACTTCATGTAAAAAAAAAAAAAGTTGTTATCAGAAAAAGAATACAGTGTCACAAAAGAGAAGAAAAAGGTTAGAGTCACAAACTAAAATCGGAGAGAGTGCCTTACAATTATTGTAGTATAAGAGTAACGAATTAAAATATGTTTGTAGGGTCAGCAGTTGACATACACTGTCTTACCTGGATTTCCAGAAAACTCCTTTTCATCACCACTATTATAGCTTAAAAATTTTACTGTAAATCTCTGTGTCATGATCCCTAGATATAAAACAAAATGAAAATACAACATGCACCATTTCACTAGGAAAAGGAATTATCCCCCATAGTGTTATTTTCTTTACCTTATAATTACATTTTGCCACACAAAAGTTTTCTGTTAAATCACAAATACAAATAAGAAAAAGCCTGACTTAATTTTACATATAATAATTATAAGAATCTTAAAGAAAGAAAAATAAATATTTTACACTGAAAACATTCTCACTGCCCTCAACAAACTTACCTCTCTGGTGGGCATTAATTTCTGCCCGGATAATTTTGACATTTATTTCACTGATTGTATTATTATTCCATCTGAAAATGTAATGTTCTTCCACATTCACGCTTCTGGAGGCTGATTCATTGCTTAAAAGTGTTCCTGCGAATAAAAAATACTTTCATAAATCAATGAACCTCCTGGGGGCTCAGGTCGATCACTGGCCCCACCGAGTCAGCACGGGCCCCCTCCCCTACAGCATCACAGTGTCCGGGGGGAGGTCTGCCCTTCTGCTCCATTGCCGGACCCCCAGAATGCGGCTCATGGCTCAACACACACACGCCCGCTCCAGTGTTTGGCAAGGACGAAGGACAGAATGTCAGCCCCCTGGGAGCCAAGGTCTGCCATCTAACTCACTACCGTATTATAGGTACTTTGCTAAGATCTGAGAAATGAATAAAGTTGAGAATTTCGAGACATTGTAAGGAAACACAAATATCCTTCGTGAACAACAAAAATCCTGTTGCTATTAGCGGAATTCTGAATGTCTTGTTTGGCTGCATCATGACGGCAAAGTTTAGTTATTTCAAAAAAAAAAAACAAAAAAAAAAAGGAGAAGAGAGGAAGAAGCCGACATACAGGCTCCCTGAAGACCAGCAGGGCCCCTGGCACCCACAGAGCTCAGGGCTGTGAGGAATGGCTCCAGGCAGCAGACAGTGCCATGCAGCGAGGCAAGACGGAGTCGGGAACAAACCAAATGTGGGCCAGACAAACTTCTAACTGTGGGGAAGCTCCTTAAATTCTTTGTAAAAATCAGGGCACCTGGGTGGCTCAGTGGGTTAAGCCTCTGCCTTCGTCAGGTCATGATCCCAGGGTCCTGGGATCGAGCCCTGCATCGGGCTCTCTGCTCAGCGGGGAGCCTGCTTCCCCCGCCCTCCTCCCTGCCTCTCTGCCTACTTGTGATCTCTCTCTCTCTCTGTTAAATAAATAAAATCTTAAAAAAAAAAACTTAAAAAGAATTCTTTGTAAAAATCTATTTCCCTCCAGGACTACGTATCCCTTCTCAGAAAGGACCTACATGTTTCTGCAGAGGTGACAGGGAGCGTGCATTCAAATACCTGTCCTGGTGATGAATGCGTCTGGGTCGGCAGCTTCCTCATAGGTTACTCTCGGTGTAATGACGCCTGAGAAGATACCGGGATCCGTTAGCCTCCCGAGCACGACATGACCCAGCACCTGCATGCTGACTTGGTCAAGGGCAAGCTTACCAGGCAACTATGGGTGACCTCGCCTGACCTGTGTGCCAGCTGCTAACCCTCCCCCAGCTCCCCAGACACCGCCCAGGGGGATCCCACTGGCCTTGGCATCTGGTGATAACTGGGGAGGAGACTGGCAGTCAGGGACAGTGTGATCTGAGAGCTTCTCCCCTGCAGGAGCGAACACGCGGGCCGCTGCCAGGGCGAGCAGAAGACGGTGCGCTTGCTCTAGAAGCGGTTTGGCACTGCCTCAGAAAGAAACTGGGTGGCTTGGTTAAGCATCTGCCATGGGCTCAGATCATGATCCCAGAGTCCTGGGATCGAGTCCCACATCAGGCTCCTTGCTGAGCTGGGAGCCTGCTTCTCCCTCTGCCTGCTACTCCGCCCTGCTTGGGCTCTCTCGTTCTCTGACAAATAAATAAAATCTTAAAAAGAAAAAGAAGGGGGCGCCTGGGTGGCTCAGTGGGTTAAAGCCTCTGCCTTCGGCTCAGGTCATGATCTCAGGGTCCTGGGATCAAGCCCCACATCAGACTCTCTGCTCAGCAGGGAGCCTGCTTCCCTTCCTCTCTCTCTGCCTGACTCTCTCTGCCTACTTGTGATCTCTGTCTGTCAAATAAATAAATAAAATCTTTAAAAAAAAGAAGAAGAAGAGTTGGTATTTCAAAAAAGAAAGAAAATTAGCCGAGAGATCCAAAAACCCTGTGTGTTTGGACACCACCCGCATTCTGACAGTACACTCCCTTGCTTAGAAAGTTGTGCACCATTCCAGTTACTTCTAGAGGGTGAGGAATGCTCCCCTATCAAGAAAAGGACCTGACAAAAAGGGAAATTCAGCAAAGTTTGAGGAAGCCCCATTAGGTTAGACTTTATCAACAGTGCTATTTGTAATTTTTATATTTTTCAAACTGCGGGCTTGTTTATTAAAAAAAAAAAAAAATCCATTCTTGGCTTTTCAGGAACCAGTGAATCCTGCTGTTTGAGAGGAGCAGATAGCAGGGAGCAGATTATCTCACTCTGAGAGAGCAACAGTTATTGTTCATATAAAGATTGTCACAATTATTCTTCCAACGGAGGATGCTTTAGCACTCGCTACCTTGATGGAAACAAACGTTTGTGGAGTCTGTTCTCTGCCTGTCATTGTAACAGACTGTATCCTCTGAGGTTCTGACAACACCACTTCTGGTGTCTCTCTTACTTCGACAGTCGTTTTCTGCTTCCCTTACAGGTGTCCTTTCTGATCTAAATAATTTAAGGAGCTTTCAAGGACCCTATAACTGGACCTCTGTCCAACTTTTGCAATTGGTCTTATTTATGCTGCTGGTCAAAATAACATAATTATACGTAGATATCAGTATAGACAGCTGATTGATATGACAGATGAGAAATGGATAAATAGATGATAGATAGATACATAGATGATAGATTTTTTTTAAAGATTTTGTTTATTTATTTGACAGAGAGATTACAAGTCGGCAGAGAGGCAGGTAGTGAGAGAGGGGGGAGCGGGCTTCCCGCTGAGCAGAGAGCCCGATGTGGAGCTCGATCCCGGGACCCTGAGATCATGACCTGAGTTGAAGACAGAGGCTTAACCTACTGAGCCACCCAGGTGTCCCCATAGATGATAGATTTGATAGACTATAGATAGATAGATAGATATGATAGATGGTAGATAGATGAATAGATAGATATGACAGATGATAGATATGATAGAGGGTAAAAAAGAAAGAAAGAAAGAAAGAAGGGCGCCTGGGTGGCTCAGTGGGTTAAGCCTCTGCCTTCGGCTCAGGTCATGATCTCAGGGTCCTGGGATCAAGCCCCGCATCGGGATCTCTGCTCAGCGGAGAGCCTGCTCTTCCCTCTCTCTCTGCCTGCCTCCCTGCCTACTTGTGATCTCTCTGTGTCAAATAAATAAGTAAAATCTTTAAAAAAAAGAAAGAAAGTCAAATCACAATGTGACTTGGCCATCCCGCAACTGGGTGCAGGGCCAGAGAGATGCGAACGTGTGCCCGCACAGACAGTCGCACAGGAGCGTTCCCAGCAGCAGGACCACAGCTGCCAACAATGTGCCAAACAACCCAAACCCCCAAAGGATGAGCGGGTAACATATGTGGCACGATCGTTCGTGGGACGGAACAGGACACGGCCACAAAAAGGAGCGGAGCTCTGGTCGGTGCGGCGGCCCGGGAACCCTGCGAACATGACGCTAAGTGGAAGCAGCAGGACACGGAGACCACTCCCGCAGGATCCCTCGTGTATGGGAAGTGCGGGCCACGCAGATCCACAGGGACAGAAAGGGGAGTTGTGGTCGCTAGGAGTCAGGGTATAGTGTCTCCTTTGGGGGCAGGAAAATGTTCTGGAACTAAACGGAGGGGGTGGTGGCACAGCTCTGTGAAGGAACGAAATGTCCCCGAACTGTACACCTCAACACAGTTAATTCTCGGTTATGTGAGCTCTACCTCCATTTGTAGAGAAGAACGAATACGGGACGTGCTGCCCTATGGAACTGGGCTTTTTCTGAGGAAAACCTTTCCTTCAGTTGGCAGTTGAAGTATTTTAAGTTGATCCAGTGGAAGTGATTTATATCCTCATGGGATCGCAGTTTATGTAGAAACTCAGGTCTGTGTTCTTTTCTCTTTTTTTTTCTTAAGATTTGTTTATTCATTTGAGAGAGAGAGAGGGAGAGAGCACACGCAGGAAGGGGCAGAGGGAGAGGCTGAGAAGCAGACTCCCCCACTGAGCGCACAGCCCGACGACACAGGGCTCGAACCCACGACCCTGAGATCACGACCTGAGCCGAAATCAAGAGTTGGGTTGCTTCTCCGAATGAGCCACCCAGGAGCCCCACATTCTTTTCTCAGACCAACAGGACATACCTCCCACCGCACCATTCTTGATCTTCGCATGGACGACGCCACCATCTTGCTCTTGGTAGGCTTCCAAATTAGTAGCGCACCGAACATCAAAATTGTGAAGGAACGCCACGGGCGCGTTCTGCACACACTGCCCAGCCAGGGACACCTGAGGGTAAGGGAAATCCCAACAAGGCTATGAGCTCTGTCAAATCACAAAACACAGGTCAGTGGCCCGTACAGGCATTCGTCCCGCAGCCTGTCCTACTGCTGGGCTAGTCTTCAAATAATGTCAAGTTCAATGACTAGATGAGCCACAAATCAACTATCCAGTTCATTCGCTAATCACATCTGGAAGCAGCTGCTTGAAGAGTAGAAGTACGTAACATAAAATAAGAAAACTCCTAGACACCTGCGTGGCTCAGTGGATTAAGCTGCTGCCTTCCGCTCAAGTCAGGATCTCAGGGTCCTGGGATGGAGCCCCACATCGGGCTCTCTGCTCAGCGGGGAGCCTGCTTCCTCCTCTCTGCCTGCCTCTCTGCTTACTTGTGATCTCTCTCTGTCAAATAAATAAATAAAATCCTTAAAAAAAAGAAAAAAGAAAACTCCTTGCTGTATTTGCTTTGCAGAGACGTGATTATATTCAACTTCATTTTCTCTCCCTCAGGACAAACAGATTTTTGTTAAAACCATAAAAATGGATTCCTTGAATAGTGAAGAGAGACGGTTTAGACGCCACGTTTTCTTCCCACAAATATCTTTTCCTCATGATTTTGGACTTAAAAAAAAAATAAAGGTTTTACATAAAACTCTACAGCCTTGAGATATTTTTCAAAGTTCTGGACTATTACATTAAACTGTCTACTTGTCTACTTATAGCTTATTAGAAATTGGCTGTTAAACTAACAGAAGCTCAGAATGGTAGTTAGTTCCACGGAAATTGAGGGAATGTCTTTTGGTTGGGAAGTTCACTCTGACATTTAGCAAAAACAGTGGCTAATTTAAGAGGGAATATTAAAACCCACACCATAAAGAGCTGCACACCTGGGAAGCCCATAGGATTAAGTAACTTAGGATAAGATTTTTTTTAAGTTAAATTAACAAGATGGGAAAAAATGTTAAAGGCCCCAAGCACATCGCAATTGAAATTCTTACCTGCGGAATGGTGAAATATGTCTTGTCTACAGTCATGATCGGATCTCCTTGCTTGTAACCGAAGTCTGAGAGGTCTCTTAGATCAGCACGCAGATGCACTCCAAAGGAAGCACGCCGCTGAGAGGAGCTGTAGATCAATGACAAGGATGACCACTATTCCTCGTGGCTGTATCTCCTTTGAATTTTTGTTTTACTTTTTTAATTACAAAAATAACAAATGGACTAAAAGCCACAGAGGTGCATTTGAAACCATTTGAAAGTGGTTAGTGGCTAATTTTATGTTATGAGAATTCTAGAAGGAGGAAGGGGAGGAGGAGGAAAGAGAGGAGGAGGAGGGGGAGGAAGAAGAAGGAGGAGGAGGAGGAGAAGAAGAAAAAGAAGAAAGCTGTCAAAATTTCGACAGCAGGGAAAGGTTCAAGAAAGAAACTCAAGCCCCCAGGGAGCCCAGCCCTCCTTCCCCAAACCCAGATCATCACTGTTAACTGTTTGGGGCATCAACAATTTCTCTCCGATGAGGCCCAATTCTTTCAAAACCTTAGCGCAAAATAAACTTGCTAACAGAAGTCTAGAACCGATTGGCAACTAGAGGCGGTGAGGTCGGGGCCGCGAGAGGACACACACACGGAGCCACGGTAGAAGTAGCCCAGGAAGGGCGAGTTGGCCGGCGAGGACTGCACACACAGGAATGGGAACCAGCCGGGCACCCCGCGGCTCTCCTGCACAGAGCACAGGTGGTCAGAGTCGGGACTGACGTCGCCTCCGAAAATGCCGGTGAAACAGGCCTCTCTGAACAGCTCCGTTAGATCGGACGAGCATTCCTGGAAAGGAAACAGAGGGGCAGTGAGCAGACAGAAGCTGCCATGGGGCGCCCCCCCTCTCCAACCCCCAGACGCTCTCAGGTGAGCAGGACGCCGCTGAGGAAGTCTGGAACAGAGTCTCCTGTCCAGGCTCCTGTGCTCTGAGCTCACAGGAAGTAAAATCCTGCTGGAATTCCTCTCATCAATTCCCTAATAAGCCTCCAGGTCAGGAATTTCAAACCGTTCAGGGAATCCCATCCTTACTGGGGACGTGAGATGTGCCCACAAAGAAAGAAAGAGAGAGTGAGAGAGAGAGAGAAAAAAAAAACAGTATGAAGAGAAGATAATACGGAATAGACTCCAAATGGGGAATAAAACAGAGTAAACATCTCACTTTTTAATCGCCATCACCATCCAAATCCCAAGCCCGGAGAAACCTAAGACATTTCGAGTCAGGGCAAACAATCCGAACTCCTAAGAATCCTTACGGTCCGCACGAGAACACGACCCAGTTAATGTCATCAAGAAGTGACTTCATTCCTGTATTCAGCCATTTGTCCATTGTCTTCCCTGATTCACAGAGCGTTGAGAGCTCAAAGTTATGTCCTGAATGCCTTGTTTACTGACAGTAGAAGGATACATTTTAAACAAGAACAGTTCAAATTAAAGAACGGATCACGACTAAAGTGGTGAGTAGCAGCTCCCAGAAGACATCACTGACCCAGAAGGCCAGTGGCTGGCACTGCATACAGCGATACCAAGTATGACAAACACAAAAGTCAGAAACCGGGCACAAGACTGCAGTCTGGAAGACAAAAGACAGAGGACAAGAATACCATCTTGATACTTCCACTGATACTGATTTACAATGTGTTGTATTTTTTGATTAAATATAATTGTTATTGTAAGTGCAATTGTTAGCATGAGATCTACCCTAAACTTCCCTTTTCTGCTTTTCCCTTTTCTGTTTTGTGAAACCAACCACAACATAATTGTGCTCAACCACAATCAGGAGTGACTGGGGTCCCAGGAAATGTGCCACATCTCTCATTCCTCTTAAATAGCAAAGAAGGATTACAAATATGGATGGTACCTGGATCCAGCAACAGATTCCTAACTATGACGCCAAAAGCACAAGCAACAAAAGAAAAAACAGATGAACCAGACTTCAAATTACGAAACTTTCGGGCCTCAAATGATACCTACAAGAAAGTAGACGACCTAACAATGGGGACACTTGTTACAAATCACATACCTGATTTGAGACTAGTCTCCAGAAGGGTATAATAAACTCTTACAGTTTAACAACAATAAAATAAATAAAAACAATAAAAATATGGGCAAAGGGCCTAGGAAGACATGTCTTCAAAGATACACAAATGTCCAGTAAACGTATGAAAAGATGTTCAACATCATTTGCTACTACAGAAATGCAAATGAAAATCAGAGCAGGGGCGCCTGGGTGGCTCAGTGGGTTAAGCCTCTGCCTTGGGCTCAGGTCATGATCTCAGGGTTCTGGATCAAGCCCTGCGTCGGACTCTCTGCTCAGCGGGGAGCCTGATTCCTCCTCTCTACCTATTTGTGATCTGTCTGTCAAATAAATAAATAAAAGTATTAAAAAAAAATCAGAGCAAACTACCACTTCACACCCACGAGGACGGCTAAAATCCAAGAGATCACTGTAACAAGTGTAGGTGAGGACAAGGGGAAAATCGCCACCCTTCCCCACCGATGGGAATGTAAAACGGTGCAGCCACTTTGGAAAACAGTTCCTCCAAAGGTTAAACCTACAGTTGCCAATAGGCCAGAGCAGTTCCGCTCCTAGGTACTCTACCCAAGAGAATCAGAAACCAACATCCTAACAAACACTTGCCTACAAATGTTCACAGAAGCTTTATTCATCACAGCCAAAAAGCAAAAGTAACCCCAATGTCCATCATCTGATAAACGGATTGGCAATCTGTGGTTTATCCCTGCACCAGAATGTGACTTGGCCATAAAAAGGAACGCAGCACCTGACACCTGCCACAACGTGGAACCCTTGAAAGCAAGACGCCGAGCGAGAGAAGCCAGACATAGGAGGCCACAGGCTGTTGGAATCCGCTTACACGCAAAGTCTGGAACAGGCCAATCCAGAGAGCCAGACCCCAGAGAAAAGGGGCCCGGGATGGGCAATGGGCAGGGGATAGAGTGCAGAGGGGCACAAAGGGTTCTTTTTGGGTGACAGAAACGTTCTCAAGTGGGGTCATCATGAGGGTTGTGTACCTCTACCCATTTACCAAAAAAATTACCTTTCCTAGAGACTTCTCAGTAAGATAGTAACACCATCCCCTCAGTATAATCATCTGAATCCTGACTTTATTGGAAGAGATCCATTTTTTTTCCTTCCCTAAACTAGACGGACCAACAGAACTAAACAAGAAAATATTCAATTTGAAAACAAGTTGGAACACAAAACGCAATCTTGGTTTTCAAAGCCCGTCCCTCAAAAAGCTGTGGATGGGGACTGGCTGGTCTTCCTCACATGCCCTCAGGCGGCAGAACCTCTGCACCTGGAATTGGAAAGGACGTACCCACCTGGTCACAGCAGCAGCGAACATCGCAGGCCCCGGCTGTCAGATTGCAGGGACAAGGACCCAGGGGCTGAAACACCTGATTGGGAATAACAGTCACATTCTCTGAAAAGTACAAAGAACAGAGAAGTCCAGCTATGAAACACACAAAGTACTGCCACGGTTTTTTGGACACTCGAAAGAAAGCTGCACGATTGTTTTACAAATCACGGGGACCAAACACAACACGTTAAGGAATCCCTGAGCTGTTCGTAACCCCTCCCCCAGGCCTGTTATCTACCACGCCTACAAAACCCCAAATATAGGAAAATGTGTGAGTCATAATAAACTGAAACTTGTGGTTGATCTTAAAAATAATCGAGGGACTAAAACTGACAAGCTGGGATAACTGTAAGGCACTGATTCTATTTTTCTATACGCTGAACAATGCCTTTCATAACACAGGCTCACGTTAAGCACTGACTCCTTCCATTTCATTATCTCCTCCAGCAGATAAAACTGAAACCACGGTGACGCTTCAGATGGCTTATCTGGCACCTATCTGGCTGCAAGATTCTATCTAATGATGCTACCTGCTCAACCTCATATCCTATCGCACTGCAGACCCAACTCGTCACATCCTGATTCTGGTTCGAGGGTGAAAGTGGGCGGGGAAATGAATAATTTTTACATGGACGGGAAAAGGAATATGTTGTATTACATTTCAACCTCCTAACTCAGTGTTCCCAGTTTCTCTGCAATAATTTATTGGGTAAAACTTTCAGTCTGCTGAATTTTACTTTTTTTTTTTTTTTTTTTTTAAAGTAGGTTTGATACCCAGCATGGAGCCTGATGCAGGGCTCAAACTCATGACTGTGAGATCAAGACCTGAGCCAAGATCAAGACTCGGACGCTTAACCAACTGAGCCACCCAAGCGCCCCCTGAATTTTACCTTTGCCCTAGGATTTGGTACCTCTTGAAAAACTAGGTAACGAGGATTTCTTTAAACTCTATGTAACATTTAACTTCAAGGACACGACAGCTGCAGCATGTGAAGCACCGCTAATTACGTAGTCTACGCTATCATATAGTAGAACCCCAGTATGTCAATGGCATCAGGAATGAATGAGGAGAAGGTCTGAGTAACAGAGTATGTCGCACAGTCCAGACAAGGCTCTGACCATCAGTATAATTAAACCTGTCGGACGGAAGCAAGGCATTTTAGAATAGGGTTTTACTATACGATATATAGATAGATGTTTGTGTATCTATCTATACGTCCCCTCTGCTGTTTGCTAGCTTCATTGTTACTAGGCATACCACGTACCTCCTGTCTGTCCTTCCATCCTTTCTCTTGTTCTGAGCTCTGTCTGACTGGGTGCAAAATGTTTCATACCTTCATGGGGTCAGACCGGACATCGCATAATTATCAATATACAGACACTCTAATTTTTCAAAGTTTGGCTAATTGCACAAAGATGCTTTGAAATATTACCTAAATGGAGTCAATATTTTTTAAAAGAAATTTTATTTATTTTTATTTATTTATTTTTATTTATTTTATTTATATATTTATTACCTAAATGTAGTCAAGTCAAGATTTTTTAAAAGAAAAAAGCTACTACTTTAAATGTTACAGCTACCATTCACCCCTCCAGTAGTTTTTTTAAGCACCCCGCGGATATTATTTTGTTGGTTTGTTTTCAATTTTAAACATTAGAGAATGTTTTTTTCTTCTAAAAACAAAACTTGAAACCTTTAAATAGGTCACCGCTTCACGTGTTCAAAGAACTCAGGAGGATCTAAGAAAAAGGTTCACAGTGAAGTCTTCATAGCCCGCCCCTTCCTGTTCCCACATCACTCCTCCAAAGGGTCACCCATGGTCAGCGTCTCAGGCAGCCTTCCAGAACTTCTTTGTGCAAATATATATATTCTCATTCCGTGCTGTAGGCACCCAGCTGCATCTTTCCGCAGCTGGAGATCTGTCTTGGAGAACCTTCTACGCCAGCACGCTGAGGGCAGAGTGGCCCGCTGAACGGCCCTATCTTCGCTTATCCAATCCCCTCCACTTCCAAAATCACATGGAGGACCACAGTGGGGGAAAGTGATGAGGGAAGTGATGCTGTGGAGTCTCAAGGTGACAGACCTTTGCTACGAAGGAGCAACGTGGCTCCCTTCATCCCAGATGACCATAAAGGCGAGAGATGCTGGAGGTGGTTGCGGGAGGCGGGGCACGTGGCAGTGGCACCTATCAAACCGGACCCCTCACCACGGGCACACCTACATTCTCTCGTTCTGAGAACACTGCCGTGGGAAAGGGAGAATAACACAATACCACTTTCAAGTCCAAACACGCGTGTGCACAGCGCTATCTGTTGTAGCGCTGGTTACACATCACAAGCCGGGACTGCCTGAAATTCCATCAGTAAGAGACGAGTCAAACAAGGGCAGCTCCACAGGATGGAGTATTAGGAGCTATTAAAAAGAATGAGGAGCACTTTTCCATTTATACGGCATTTATTTTTAAAAGGTAGAGAA